GCTTTTAAGTGCACCCACCCCTGATCCACCATGCATGTATCCTTCCAGTTTGGATTTCTGAGCCATGAACTAGATCAGGGAGCTGATCCAGCTTAGAAGGGAAGCGTCAAAGATATTTTTCTTTGAGCTGGCTGAGTTCTTTATCTGGACCACAGGCATCTGTGGGGCTGCAGAACTAAGGGGACAAGAGGGGAAGGGCCCACGCAGTGGTTTGGCTTGGTGGGGAAACCTTAAACCCCTGTTGCTGCCAAGACAACGCACTGTCAAACTATGGGCTCGCACATTCCCTGGCATAGAAACACTGAGGATGCAAAGTGCCTTAGCCCTGTTCTGCTCTGCAGCTGTGGGGATGTTTTTGGAGTGAGTGTAGACATTCCAAACTCGTGCTAGCCTTGGTACCATTCACAATGAAGCCACAGTGATGTGGGGCTTTGGCAGGACGTGCACCTCCCTTCCCCCTCCAGGATTCTAGGTATTTACTTAGGCAGGCAGGTCTGAGCTGCTGTGGCTTCACTGCTCTTTTAGCAGGATTAGCTGGAGCACAGCTAGCTTGGAATCTTCTCTGCAGGCTGCTGTTAAGCCTCTCAAGCAGCTATAGATGTTGTGCTGCTGTGAAAGTATGACACGTGCATTTGAACCATTGTGTGGCCTTGGATTAGATGCAGATAATCTTTCTTTTTACTTAGAAGTTAATTTCTTTTACCCTTTCTGCTTTCAAGTTAGATCTGTGATTTCATATTTCCGAAGAATGAATGTGGCACCCAGCATGAAGGGTGTAGGCAACAGGACAAGGGAACAGTGTTGCTGTGCTCTCTCTGAGTGCCAGTGAATTTGAGTAGCTGTAAATTTGTTAGATTCTTCCTTACTCCTCAGCCAGGTGAAATTTGAGGAAGTGAGGGAGAGAAGCAGTTGAGAAGAGGGGGGAGGCACAACAGCATAAAGAAAAGGAATATTATGTTTGAGAAAACCAAAAGAAAATGAAAAGAGGACAGAGATGAGAAAGGAGGCGACAGGATGGAAGCAGTAACTGAGGAGGGAGATGGTGGAAGAGATTTACAAAACTTGGAGCAGAGCAAGGCCAGGGAGGCCATTGCTGTAAGAACCAAGGGTGGAAATAAATGCTTGAGAATTTTAACAGAATGTTTGAATTAATGATGAGCCTTTGTACCCCCAGGTAGTTTGGTGCACCTGAAGGTGCAGGAGAGCAGTTCTGTTAGAGAATGTCTGAGGGCCAGTGGTAGAAAGAGTTCCTCTGTGTGCCAAGAGGGCTCATTTCTGTGAGTCACAGCTGCTGCTCCTCTCCGTGGGATGGGATCTCTTACAGGTTACCCAAAGAGGAGGAGAAAAGGGGATGCTGGTGAGATGAGAAGCGTGACACACGTGGAGCAGTGTCCTCGGCATGTCTCTCTGGTGCTCTCTCAGTACAGCATGTTTAGCCCACAGTCCTTTTTGCCTGCCCTTTTCCTTAGTTGTCCCCGGTCAGCAGTTGTCTGTTGTTGCTGTTTCATCTCTCTCTGGCCTTGGTGGCTCAGCTACTGATGGTGACTCCGAGACTGGCTGGCCCTACAAGGAGGATAAGAACCCTCTTAATGCTCACCTTCTCTGAGACACTGGCTAAGAAACCAAATGCTCTTGCTTGAGCCCATCTGCTGTCTCCACTTGCCATCTACAGCAGCAGCACCCAGAGCAGCTGGAGGTGTCAGAGCAGGTGAGCCCCAGCTCGGATCTCTTTGCCTTTCCCTCGCAGGTGGGGCCTGAGCAGGCTGTGAGTGCTGTGCTGGGCTGAGCAGCTCTCAATAACCTCGTTTCCCTAGCAACAGTGGGCTCTTTAATCACGGAGATACAAGGCTACCTCTGTTCCTGGTGCTGAGGCTCGTGGAGTGTATCTGGCTGTGGCAATATTTTGCTTCTGTTGGAAAAAAATGGCAGAATGAAAGCGAGAAGGTCTCTCTGCCTTTGAGAGAATTAAAATCTCCATAGGTGGATTTCAGTGCTGTGTGCAGCAATAATAGAAAGAAGAGGGATTATAACTACTTCTAAGCTTTTTAATGTGTGAAGGATCCCTGGAGGATACAGAAATAAAGTTTTAAATTCTGTGTGGAGCTTTATGCATAGATCTCATGGCAATCTGTGACACTGATAGATTCATTCCTTGTTGAGATGTGTTATTTTCATTTTTATGGATAGGGAGACAAAGTGATTCAAAGGTAGGCTGTATCTTGTTGCAAATCTGGCAGTAAGTCTCCTCTTCTGAGCTCGTGTCCTCCACCTGCCCTTTCCTTGTGTTTCAGGTAAAAGTGTCCCTGTGCAGTAGGAGACACAACATGGAAGGGAAGGTAGAAGTGTGAGGCTGTTTTTTAGCAGGAGAAAGTGAGGAAAGTGGAAATACTGTGATTCACTGCAAGCCTTTCTGCTAATGTATTTTAGTCTGCATTTACTCCTCCATTAACAAAAGTGGAGCAAACTATAAATTTTGCAAGGGAGCACTGGGAGTGAAAGAAATATATTCCTGCCTTAATTTCTGCACAGAGACTTGGTCTTGTTACTGCACACGTGCAGGAGAAACTGGTTTGGATAAGAATAGTTTGAAGAAACCTCTGAAGGAAAAAAGAATTCTTCCATGAGTAGACATGAAGCCTACATAAATGCCCAGGACTGATGTTCCTTCTTGGATAATGCCGGTGTTAAATTGTCAGTAATGTCTCACAGGCTTCTTGGCTTAGAAAGTTGCACAGGGGACACCTGAATGAAAACAGGTATCTGTACTCTTCCTCTGAGGTGACCTGGTGTTACGATTTTGTGGGTTTGGGTTCTTTTCTTTCTGGTGTGGGGCTTTGTTTGTTTGGGTTTTTCATTGTTATTATTTTAATACGGCGTAAATAGTGCAGAGATGAAAGGAGACACCCATCCTCCTTCCTACTTATTTTGATCTCTGGACTCAAAACAGTCCCTTACCCTTCTGGCCAAACAGAAGACCATCCACCTGTGTGTGAGGAGGGTATTTTTCCTTTTTAGTCTTACCTTGCCTGTTTGGGTTGTGCAAGGTGGGGGCTAATGCAATCTCCTGTTCTGCATCCTTTTAGCCAAAGAACTTCTGAGAATTCCAACAGGAGATTTGTTTGGCTTGCAGATGTTGTAGAAATTATCCAGCTTTGGGGTATCTAAAAAATCTCTTTTGTTTGTGACTGAGCATCCTTATCTCAGCCTTTCAGGCCTCTGGTTGCCAAATCAACTTAAAGGGTGTCTTCTGAATGGTTGTGGAGCTCTGAACACCTGTAACATCTAGCCCAAGGTTACTCCCACTGCTCGTTCCCATGGTCTTGCACAATCTGACGAGACTTGAGGAACCCTGAGAGCTTGAGCACGAGCAGGGGGGGACATGAAGCTCACTGAGCTTGTTAAAATAACACTGCCATGGTCCTTCAGCAGCCTAAAGGCCTCATGTCAGGCTGTTATTCAGCTGGGTGGTATTTGGTATGAGCCGAGACAGAGCCTCGTTTCTACAGTGAGTGTATTGTTGGGTTTTCAGTAGATTGTTTGCGTAAATTCCCGAGACCAGCTCTCCCTCCTGGAACAGCCACATGGATCAAGTTTTATTCTGTTCCACATAAAGTTCACATCCTTTACTGGAATGAGTCATGCTTTAACTGAGTTTACTGTGAGGGAGGAAAGTGGGCTTTAAAATGTTACTCCTCCACCCTGCCTTGGTGATGTATAACAGGATTATTAGTATGCCTGGCAGCAGCTGCTTATTATTTTCACAGAACCTGGATATTTGTGAAAACAAGTGAAAAATTGGTTCTACTTGTGTTGGAGTGTAATTATTTTTATTTTTCTTTGCGGCTTTGCCCTCCATAAAGCTCACCAGCTGCTGTAAAAGTGGATCTCGCTTATCTTCTCGGGGTTATTTTTCAGTTTTGGGAGAAGAGTGGCATTCTGTGCCTTGTAGCTGAAAGAGGGGGAGGAACTCTCCCACTGTGTGGTCACTGGCCCATGCATGGCTGTTGCTGTCACACACAGGACACTCCTGGGCACTGAGAGTTGAAAGGACTTCACAAGCCCCTGGAACTCATGGTGTTGTGCCACTGTGCAGAAACCAGATTTTGGCCCTGTCTATATTCTTTGTGCAGGGAGGTGCAAGACCTTTTAACCTATGGCAGAGGGAGCTGCTCAGTGTGTGTCCTGTTACAGGTTTTTGCAGAAGCAGTCTCTATATGCGGCTACTAAAGATACCAGAACAATTGTACTCCTCATCTTTCCTGCAGAAGTTCATTGATGTCTCGTGCAGTAATGGCTAATTTGACTCTTCATGCCACCATCCTTTGTCCTTTATGTTTTGGATGTGGTGTTGGTTTATTTTGGGGTTTTTTGGGGGGGAAGGGGAGATGGGATGGGCAGGAGGGAGTAGGGTAGTGGTTTGTTAGTTTGTTTAAGGAGTTGGGCTCAAAACCGAGGAGGAGAGTCAACCAATAGAAGAGGACCTCTTAGGATTTTGGGCTTGGCAGTAGATTGGTTCACTTGACGTATAAGACCTTTCTTTCCTGGTCCTCTTGTTCCTGAGTGGCCTGGAGAGGGTTACATTTCTCCCATGAGCTGTGTATTGTCTGTGCTTCCTAAACTGGCAGGGGCATCATCTGTTCACGTTCTGCAGAAAACCCAGGGTGTGTTACCACAACCTCTGCATTCTTAAACTCAGACTGCACAACTTCTATGGAGCCTGCAAAAGAATTTATTTTGATGCCATTGGTTTTGAAGGAAAATGTGAGGGAAAGAGCTGTAATGGAACGATCACTGATGTTAGAAAGGACTTCACCTTTTAGGACTTGGAATGAGTGAAATGAACTTTTGGTGGCAACATAAGTTTAGTTAAATTTACTCCTCTGTTGAAGTAGCACTGACTCTGGGTTTACTGGTAAGTAATGTGAGAGCTGGGAGGCAGTGCCTGGTGGGCCAGGCTGTCTCCTGGAGCGTGAGCAGACAGGTTTGTCTGTGTTTTGCAGATGCCCCATTTGGGGGGACACCGCCCGGCTACGCGTACGATGCCGACCGCGCCGAGGAGCAGAGGAGACACCATGACATGATGCCCTACATCGATGACTCGCCATCATCCTCACCCCACCTCAGCTCCAAGAGTCGGGGCAGCCGAGACACTCTGTCCTCAGGCTCTCTGGAATCTACAAAATCAGTGAGTCCTTTCCTGTCTCTGTGAATTTTAGTGGGGAGAATTGGTGATTGTTGCACTTGAGAGGGTCTCTAAATAACAGGTAGTTTAGACAGGAGAGTGTGGAACAAAACGTGTTCCCACATCTCTGTGTATGGGCTGTCATTGCCTTTCACAAGGAAAATAAAAGTTATTTTCGGGTAGGTTAAATGTTTTGATCAAGCATCTGGAATACAAGACCTGTGAAAGTGGAATAAGAGGAATTAAAACTGACAGCTCTGGAATGGTGACTTTGGGTGGGGGATGGCCACTGCTTGTGGTGGATTTGACTATTCACTAAATAGCTGCCTATCTAATGGTAGATAAAAGGTGCAGAAGGGACTGCCCAGCCTGACCTCTGGTTTAATGTGGCCCTTCAGGCTACCTTGCTTTATTTTTGTTTCAGGTTCAGTAGCGTGGCTATAGCTTGGAACTTACAGCAAAATTCAATTTTTGTTCTTACAGTAGTCTTGGCAATGAGTCTGCAGTATGCCTTGGTAAATAACTATTGACTTTGCTGTCTTCACAGTCAAAAATACCTTAGTTTCAGCTTGAATTAGTCTCTGACTTTCACCCTTTGTTTCTGTTTATCCTTTTGCAATAGATTGAGAGCCCTTAAATTCCAAGTTGCTGTTTCCTTGAATATCTTTGTCATTTGCAGACTTTTGGTTTCCTCGAGTCATTCATAAAAATGCTTAATATCACCAAGCCAACTGTCACTGCCTTCCTACTGCGTTCCTGAGAAAGTGTGGCCAACAACCTTGAATTCCCACATTGTAAATAACACTTGGAAATCTGTCATCTAAGTAGTTTAACTTATGTGTTGCTTTAGATTGTTCTGTCCTGTTAATTAAGATGTCATGGAAGAACAGGATGGGTATTTGACAAATATCAGCGTGCATGTAAATCATCTTTAAACCATCACCTGTATCAGACAGTTTTATTTTTCTTGCATCAAAAGTCAAGAGTCTGACAAGTTCCCCGAGCCATTGTGCTCAGTGTTCATTGCACACATCCTTCTACGGCTCTTTGTTGCTTACTGCCATTTCCAGGATGGATTCTAGGTTAAGAATCCTTCTTGAGACAGTGCTTTTGTTCTTCTTTGTCATTTATAGAAACGCATTGTCAAGATCTCTCAAAGCAGTATCAAGTAGATATATTGTTGATGTTTGCTTAGTTTTGCTTGACTGTAAAGTGTGGAATCTGGTTAGCTGCTCATGCTTTAGTCTGTTAATTTTGAGATGCTTTTTTATCACTCAAGATGAGAATTCTTGTGATATGTAAGAGGCTTTTGAGTGAAGAAATTATTGTTAGTAAATGCAAAAAGCTCCAAGAACATTTTAATATTGGCTTGAGATTTCCAGGTTATGTTTCTCAGGATGAAGGAAAAACGCTGCGTGACTACACATGGCTGAGAGTTATCTTCAAAGAACCAGTTGTCATAGTGCCTGTGACTGGAGGCCTGGAGGAAACACTAATATTTAATCTTGTTCTTTATTTATCTGAGCATTGCCTCATAAGCAGTTAACAGCAGTTAATTTCAAAGTTCCTTTAATAATGCTAGAAGGCCTGCCTTTTCAAAAATAATTTTAAACATAAATGGCTGCTTTCTTCTCTCTGACTATAAAACGATGTTTTATGGCTTCCAAAAGAAAGAGGTGTCCTGATACAAATTAGACTTTTAATCGTGAACCTCAGCTGCTTCAGCTGGTCCCATCTGTAATTAGTCCACAGTTGACAATTCCACTGATTAAGGATGATCCATAACAAGGAGGAAGAGACTAATTTACATAGAGTTGCAGTATTTCCAAGCAAGCTAAACTTTCTGTCATCACAAGTTGTTAGAGGGCTTTTGCTGTAGTTCTGTTTTCATCTGTCATGGAAAAGACATCAGGAACAAAATTAAGTGTCCAGCACACTGTGCTGAGCCAAACACATAAAATGTGTCAGACTAGAAATACCAGCATGTACATCTATTCTCTTTTCTTTTACACTAAACTTGATTAGCAGAAAATATGTTTTGTTTAGATGTGTTTGCTTTTATAGTTGTCTCCTTGCCCTTTTACTTTTTCCTTAGGTGCCTGCAGATACTTCTGAAAATTTTAGATTATCCTTATGACCAGAGTGTGGAAATCAGGTTAGCCCTATGTAACAACACAACATGTGCTATATAAACTACTTTGACAAAATATTAAGATGGTGAAGTCATTCAGCCTTGCCTTATGCCATAGCCTTGTCTTGAATCTTAATGAAAACTCTGGAATACTCAATCATCCTGTTTTTCCTATGGGGCTCCTGCACTGTGCAGTGAGCACAGTGAACGGTGCTCTCTGGATTCCACGTTCACCTCTGAGCTGTGTGTGCACCTTATTTACAGGGCACTGCAAACTCTGCTCTGAGTTCACAAGTATTCATTTCCTTGTGGCATGGCCATTAACTGTGGGTACAGTTGGAATGCTACACAGGTCTTAATTATCCTTGCAGTGTTCCTGTGAGATAAGAGGATGGTATCTTCATTAACCACAGGTAAGCAAGGCAGACGGGTTATAGGAAAAACATCTGCTAATTTTGGGTGCTTAATATGAGATGTGTAATCTTCTGCAAAACCAGGTTCTGACCTTTAATACAGTTTTCTTCCCATTTAAAGTAAAATACCTTTATTTTCATTCATAACCAAGAGTTAACAACACTCCAGTCAGACACTCTAAAAAATGGAGAACATTGCAAACAATGGTATTTTTATTTTTAATCTAAGTAATTCACTTAGCATCACACAGACATAGAAGCATTTTGGTATGCTGTTCATCTTCCTTATCCATGAGACCAGCTTTCCTCTTGGAGACTGGATTGTTGCTATCTGGATATTGAGGGCATCTTGCTTTGACTGATTTTAGGGGCTTGCTCTGGGCTTTGTATTTTTCTGCCAAGTATTTGACTGAGTCCTTCCCTCTCCTTAGAGCAGCTCTAGCCTTTGGTTGGATGGCACATCAGGGTTCTGTCCAGCCACCATAGAGAAAGTGCAGAGTGACCAGAGCAGTGCCTCTTTCTAAAAGAGAATGAAGGGATCCCTCCTTTACTACTTAGAGAGGGGTGTCCTGATGTTCCCTCAGTGTGTAGGGTGACCGACTCCCAGCACCTCATGTCAGTGTTCCAAGAGCTGAGGGTGGCAATGGACTTCCAGAAGGTTTGTGGTGCTCTGCACCTTCTCATCTGGGGAGTGTTTTCTAATCCCTCCCACCACCCCCATCATATAAGCAGATGAAAAGATGCTGCCCCCAAATTTCCACTTTATCACATTCCACGGGGTGTCCACTGTTGCTGTCCAAAGAGGTGCAGCAGCATCAGTTTTGTCCGTGACCCAGAGAGGGCATAAGCAAGATGACCATTTGTGGTGTGGATCTCAGCATCCCTTGACTTGCCATTTTTATGGTAAGGGGGCCTTAACAAACATTTACATTGAGCAAGAGGGGTTGTCCCCTTCTTCTGACTCTTTCAGGGTCTCGTGCTGGGTTGCTCGTGTGTGTCCTGGCATAAAGCTTTTGCCAAGCTTTGCCTGCTGCTCTGAAGCAAACCTGCAGGGAGAGAGGCAAAAGGAGAAATAGGTTCCACTGCTGCTTAAGTTGTTTGTTTATTTAACTTGAGAAGTGGTTTAATTTTCCCAAACATTCCTTTCTGTAACAGTTGAACTTTTGTGATTGAACTTTCCAAAAATTCTGGAAACCTCTCTTGGAAAATGTCAGCCCAAATATTTGCCAAATAGGACAGTGCCAGTAGCTTCAGAAGGTGTCAAACAGTGTTGGTAAAAGGTAGTGATAATTCAATCCCCAAAAGAGGGAGAATGTGTGTGTCTTTCCCTACATCCAGGGTGAAAGGTGGAGAAGATACCCAAACAGAGTTAGAGGAGGACAGAGGGAGAGCTTGCTACAGTATTCTTAGGACACAGGAAAGTGTTGGTGACTGACACCCTTCAGTAGAGAAGAGTGATGGCCAAGAGTGGGCATCAGGAGTGGGTAGCTTGCAGCCTGGAGGCTAAAGAGGATGGGAAGCTTAATTCACTGTGATCCTGCTGCTGCTACTCATATGGGGAGAGATTGCAGCCATGAGAAGAGTAGAAATAAGCAAGGCCTTTCGAGATCTGCTCAGCAGCAAAGCCAGGCTCAGAGATGTGGAGGTGGATGCTGGTGCAGGACGGGCAGTGGAAAGGCAAAGCTCGTCCCACCTCCCCAGGAGAGGAGTCACTTTTCAGTGCAGATGAGTTTTTGCCAAAACAGATCTGTCCAATTCTTGCCCATATCACACCAAGGAAGGCAGGAGTGCTAAAACTGAGCGACCACCTCCTACTGTCTGCTCTGTTTGGAGGAGAAATTGGCTGCGGCTTCAGAGATTTCCGAGTAGAATTTCCCTTCCCTTTTCTGCTGTGCAGTCTGTGGTTGGTGCAGCATTGGCAGCCATTGCCTTTCCTCAGATCAAATCCTTTTGTCCTTGCTGTCTGCCAGCTCAGCAGAGAGCAGGGCTGTGGCAGAGCAGGTTGTGGGTTTTGCTCCTAGCTTGGTCCCAAGAGGATCCAGAGAAGCTGACCTCTGAAGCTACAGCAATAAACAGGGTTACTGCTCTGCTTGGTACTACTGTTGCCAGCTTGTCCTTCCCTCTCCTGGTTTTCCAAATCCTTCTCCTTTCTTCCTCTCGCTATTTGGGTTGGTTTGTTTGTTTTGTTTCACTGTGGCTTTCTCCTCACCACCCCCAACAGATGCAGTTTTTCCTTTTTATTCTCCGATTCTTTGCTCCTTAAGGGCTCTGCCTGGATGTACAGCCCTTCCTGAGGAGAGCTGGCACACCAATACTGATGTTATAAATAATGTTGGATCCTCTCCCTGCTCCTTCCCCTCCCTGCGTGGAGCATGATTGGCTTGATTACAGAATTTGCCCTGTTTAATATCACCAAGACAATGACACACCTCCAGCCTGTTTTAGCAGAAGCTTACAAATATATTTACACTTTAAAAATTGAAATGAATTGCTTTTCTTCCTTTGTAGGCTCTCAACTTCTGTGTGAGATTCAGAGCTGTCCTTACGGGAAGCCTCTCCTTTGAGCACATTCACTGCACGGTGTGTGAACACCCTGTACCAAAGGAAGAGTTAAAGTGCCTTTTATACACCCACTTTGAATCCCTGATTCTCTTTACAGAGCTGTGCCAGCAGCAACCTCTTTGCAAAATCTTCTGTGTTGTGGTTTCTAGATCCTTAATCTGTGCTCTTCTAACATTTGCAAGAAAACAATTATTGCTGTCAATTTAAACAAAACCCAGGAAGCCCCGAGTTCTAAACAGTCAGGAAGAGCTGAATCTGTCTAATCCTTGGAGCTGGTGAATGTCGGCCTCGCAGTAATTGGGCACAACATGTGATGCCAACCTGGTTAGTAAACTAAAGTGCTTGGGCTGACAGGCTGCAAACACATTCAGAGCAGCTTTGGCTCAGGGCCAGCGTGTGTGTGTGTGCTCTGATATCTCCAGAGCTTCCAACCACTCCGACTGGCCGTGGGTCAGGTCCCAGGATTGCACTTATTATGGCTGTGACTCAATCTTCTGGTTTTTAAGTCTTTGGAATAGCAAAAGGCACCACCCAGCTGAGAAGAGAACACCAGGGTGGTATAGGCATGAGATACCTGTGACATTTCCTTTAGCCTGCTTTCCACCTCCTTTTTGTTTTCTTTGTTTTTAAATGTAGTTCATAAGGAGTGATTCCTTGCTTGCTTGTTCAGATCTGGCTGGGTGTTGGGTCCTCACAGCTCCCATGGCAGGGAGACAGGAATGCTCTGGCTGCTGCCCTGGTACAGTCTTGTAATATTTATTCTGAAACACATGGGTAGAGAGGAAGCCAAAAGATGGAAGGGCAGTGGAGAAAGGCTAGACATGGACACTGGCGTCAAAGAGGCAGGGATGGTCGGAACATGAAATACTAGTCAGACTTGTACAAGTGAAAAACAAGCTAACCAAGCTGTGTAGGAAGCATGGGATGGACTGCTGACCACCTGGCACTCCCTGCTGAGTGGTTAGAGTTTGCCAATACAGGCTGCTCCCACTTCCTGCTGGGAACATCCCATCTGCACTGTGGTAATAGGTGTATTATCCCCTGGCTAATGTGGTCTGGTAGATGTGGTACCAGCTCCTCCCCTTAACACAGGCAGCTCAAGGATTTCAGACTGCTCCCTTCTGCCAGGGTGGGGAAAGGAGTCCTCAGCCTTGGCAGGTCTCCCTGTACTGGTGAGGAGCTCGATACCTCTGCCCAGGATGTTCCCTCTGAACTCCCTTCTGGCTGGAGCGCAGGAGCTGAGCAGGCAGGGAGCTGTTGTCACAGTGCTGTTCTTTGTTTCCCTTTTGTGTTAGATATGGGCAAAGCAGAAATGCCCTTGGCAAGGGGTGCATCATGTCCTGGTGTGCTGCAGGGGGAGGGTGGAAGGGCAGTCCCACGGGATCTGTGCCTGCTCACTGCTGTCTTGTTCTGGGTAAGCAAGTGAGCCCATTCCCAATTCTGTAAGTAGGAATGCTGTAATACCAAATAATAAACTTACTCCTCTTCCTCCTGGTACTGGCACCAGCTCCCAGTGAATTTCTCAGTCTTGGAGAACGTTTCAAAGCAAGTGTGACTTAGAAAGCTCCCTGAGGCTGAAGGAGCACCGGGGCTGTTCTCCAGATGTTCGTCCTGCTCCGTGCAACCCCAGCTGACATTGCCAGCAAAGGCTCCCTCAGCAGGAGCCCTTGTCAGGGCACGGGCTCTGGGGGGCAAACACAGCAGCACCGAGGTGGTGTATTGATCCCTGGCACAGCAGGAGCAGCAGGAGATCATCTTTTCACGTATGAAGAGGCTGTATGTAAATCTGAGGTATTGCATTGGAGATCCTGGAACGTGCCATGTGATTGTTGGATAAACTCCCCCGAGGGTTCCTTCAGCAACTGCTGTACCCTGAGTAAAGCAGGCAGACCCTGCCCTGGCTGGTTGTGTCTGAGGCTGGAGTTTTGCAAGCACCACACTTGGGAAAACGCTCCTATTAAAAAGGTTTGGGACAAAACCCTGGACTTTGCACAGTGCCCGTGCGGTAATGGCCAGGAAGGAAGGCCCCCAGTGTGTCCTGGGAGATGTTTGTCTCTGAAAGCACATCTCTTTTAACGGGAGGAAATTAACATTCAGGCACAAAATGCTGCTCTGTCAGCCCAGCAAGAACTGGCTGGTAAATTAAAGCTTTTACTTGTGAAGAGGAAAACTGTTCTCAGTGCTGTAAGGAAAACTGTTGTGCCACTGTGGTGATGGGGAAGTTTGAATCATTTAAATGACTTGCCATTGTGTGCTGCTCTTTACAGATGTTACAAACATACCCAGCTGGTTTTTAAATCCTCACCTCCTCCAAGAGAACCTGCTAAATATAATTATAGTGCTGTGTCAATATTGACCAGTTACCTCATCCTCAGCAGTGGGGACTTTGGAGCACTGTTAGTTTTCGTCAATGCTTCTTTGTGTAGCTGCACTTTTCTTTTGTAAGTGTTGTAAGAAATCTTTGAAAACCAAGAGCAATTGTGTTTCTCTTGCACCAGCACTGCTCCATCCCTTCCTCTTTGGATGAAGGCAATCTTTGTTTAACGTCTTGGGGCTGTCTGTCTCGATTAGGTGTGCGTGTACCATGCCTTAAAAAGTGGTCCATGAGCTGGACATCCAGGCACTGCTGGCACAGAAACCATAAGGAATGGTCACAGTATTGTTGGACATTTACGTTTGAGCTGTGCAGGCAGCCACTCGGGCGTTCTGGAGATGCACAGAGGCTGTTGCAGCTCATTTTACCGTGTGGTTTGTCGCTGGTCTTCTGCAATCTTCTGAACACTGAATTACAAATCCTGCCTTCTTTGAGAGGCCCTTTCAAGATTTTAAAGGGCCTTACTGAACATCAGCAGAGGGTGGGATGCAAAGGCAAGTTCCCCTTGCCGTGCAGTACCTGACGTGCGTGTAAATTTGACGCGTTTCCTTAGAACCGCTTCTGTCTGCCACTTTTATCGAAGAGGTGATGGTGGTATTTGACACCTCACATAATCTTTATGAAGTAGTTGCTGGAGGTCTTTTAGACTAGAAAATAGCTTGTGAAATTTAATGAAAGTGTTCAGGAATCAGGATGGTTATTGATGAGACTGAATCCAGAAATATCCGGGAGCGTGAGGATCTGTTCCGTTCCTCGGGTGGTGCGTAGGCTCAAAGTCACACTCGGGATGTGATGGTTTTCCTGCAGGCTTTACCTATAGCCCAGATGCCTTCTGTCCATCATGAACCTCATCTGTACATCTGCAGGGCTCAAGCACAGGACCCTAAACTAAGTGGAGCCTTTTTTTTGGCAGCTCTAGGGCTTTATGTTCAGTCAATAGAGTGGAGCATCCTGCTGTGTTTCCTGATCCTCCCACTGCTGAAATCAAAAGCTGAAGATTCCTCTGGATATTAAGAGGAGTAGGATGGAGCCACAAACAACCTACCCAAAGACCTTGAAAAGTACCCTTTCAGAGCCAACTACTGACTCTATTCTTAGAGACATTTAATAACATAAAAAGCTTGCAGGAATTGTAACAAGCTATTTCTGTGAATGACAGAAATAAAAAGAACTGGAAATAAGAATGTGTGAAAGGGGGATGTTTCTCATTATTTATAACCTTCATTGCCTGGCCACATTTTTTTGGAAACACTCGGTTTCACTTTATCAGGTTAAACACTTTTTCAGATAACAGTTTTGAGAGGAAGCATAATTAAAATTCAACAGAGGGGATGACTGCTTCTCTTAACGCTTCATGCTAGTCTTCCTCATTTGCCCATGAATGTATTTATGTTTGGGTTTTTTTCCTCTCTTTCTTCAGTTGTTTTGGTTCAGAGCTCCTTCATGGAATCCCAATAAGAAAACCAGCATGTGCGTTCCAAGCAGTGCTGATTATTCCATCCTCTCACTAAAAATAGGCGTTGTGCAAGCTGGCACTGAAAAATAATGTAGTGACTATTAGAGAGTGGGAGAAGGAACAGCCGTGTGGGAGCCGTGGCAGGCTGGGCTGCGCTCTGCTCGGGCACACCTGTGGGGAGGCAGGGGCAGCTCCTTCTGCACGAGAAACGCGGCTGTGGAGAGCTCTCGTGGGAGGAGGGAGGGAGGGAATGGCACACAACAAGGCTCCTGAGATGTGTTCAGGAGGATAACTTCTGAGTTTTTAAGTCCTGTGTTAGGAATTTTGTGAAGAGGCCTGGGCACCTAATGGAGGCACCGAAGTTGGATGACCAAAGCTGATAGCTGTAAATAATCTAAGTGACATCAGTTGCTGGTAAATAAAAATTTCTATGATGTTTTATGTTTCCATATTGCTAGAAATAGGGTGCTGAGCACAAATGGGTTTGTTGTTTGGTTGGTATTTTTTTAGTCTGAAAGTAAACAAAAAACCCAAGTATGCTCTGGTCAACTGAACGATATCTTTTACTCCATCGTTATTCTTGGGTTTTTTTCTTTCTCTCCCCCCCACTCCCTTTTTAATATTTTTTTTTTCTTTTTTCTCATTATCAACTTCTTTGTAGAGCGAGCCAGACCTGGAGAAAGGCCTGGAGATGAGGAAATGGGTCCTGTCAGGAATCCTAGCCAGTGAGGAAACCTACCTGAGCCACCTGGAGGCCCTGCTGCTGGTAAGAACTGGGACCAGATGCCAATTCAAACACTGGTACATGAATTTTCACTGCTGCTTCCATCCAGACTTCCCAGAACTTCACATAACATGTGGGTTACAAGTTGCTGGGTGTGAAGGGTACCTGTTCCTCCTCTTCTCCAGGAGAGGAAGAGAGGCTTAAAGGAAGGACTTGGATATGGCACAACCAGGGAGTTAGGGTGTTACAAATGTGGTAGTACCCAGGAGCTCAGTCTTTAAGTGTTCTGTGCTAATTATTAGACACGTTGCTGTGTAGTTGGACAGAGATTAAGGAAATAAAGTGCAAAGGGATTTTAATTGCACCATTAATACCCTGGGAAAATCCACCTACTGGGGTGGCTGATCCCCATGAGAGAACTTGTTCATGTCTCGCTTTCAGGAGTTGTGTGAATGCAAATATCACTTATTAATAGGATGAAAAATAAATCTATAGAGGGATGTGTTGCAATGTGAGAAGGGTGAATGTACATGGTTTGCATGATAATGATTTCCCTTTTTCCTCATTTCAGCCCATGAAGCCTTTGAAAGCTGCTGCCACCACCTCTCAGCCTGTGCTGACCAGTCAGCAGATTGAGACAATATTCTTCAAAGTGCCTGAGCTCTATGAGATCCACAAAGAATTCTACGATGGGCTCTTTCCCCGAGTGCAGCAGTGGAGTCACCAGCAACGTGTGGGAGACCTCTTCCAAAAGCTGGTAAGTCAGCTGCCATCAGCAGAGTTTCTGGTGCCTCTGATCCAGCTCACAGGGGCTGGTGGGTTCCCTCTGGTGACTGTGCACAGGCTGAGGGGATCAAAGCCCGTGGCTGGATTAGAGGAGAGGCTTTTCACTTTGCCACTGCAGTGAAGGGCCTACAGCAAAATGGCTCTTTCATTGTCTTTAATTAAAGACTCCAGCAAGCTGTGGTGCTGAAATAAATACAGTTTCACAGAAATACTGGATCTTCAGAGTCTCTGCAGCATCATCAAAAGAATTTGCTTTGGAGGAAGATGGGAGAATGGCAGTATTACTAAGTGAATGTTTTAACGCTGACAGTGAAGTGTTTCTCATTACTGTTGAACTCTCTCACATAATTCCTTCTCTCAGTGGTGCTTTGCTCTACCTTGTGCTGATTTCTGGTCATCACCTTTGGCTCTGCTTCTCTGCCACCGTCCTGGCCTTTGTACTCCCCTTGCTGTTATGCTGATGCAGTCAACCTGCAGCTGAGAATCCTCCAAGCAACCTCAACAAAATGCTCTGAGTGCGGAACAGGACAAAGACATATACAGCATATTCCTGAGGCTGAATTAAAATTGCTGAGTTTCTGAGCCAGATGACAAATTGTTTGCATTCTAGGAGAGTTCTTTGGCCCCTTTAGCCTCTCCCCTAGCATGTGCAGAGAGCAAAGGATTAAAGGAGCTGTTTTTTCCTTTTTAGAAAAGAAAAGAATCTCTGCATTCCGGAGGTGCCTCCGATTCTCCGGGTAGGAGTGACATTCCAGTGAGGGGTTTATTGGCTGGGGAGTGTATTTTCCAGGGTCGATCAATTGTTAGCAGCTGTGTAGCCCAGCATCAGCCCCATCCCCTGTGGAGCAGGGGGAGCTGGGCCTGGAGGATGATGTTTTCTGTGCATGCCAACAGCTCGGGATCAAAATAAGGGAATCTGCTTTTCACTGCCAACATGTTTTAGCCAGGAGGGGTCAAGTTGGTGCCTTGGTGAGTAGTTCATGGTATGCAATTTGAGCAGCCGGTTTAAGAAGACAAACCCAGCTGCTGCTGGTTGCTGAAGCAGAGATACAAAGGCTGCTGGAAGTGGCAGCCTCACAGACTGCTCTGGACGTGCAGTGCAGCAGTGGAACGGCACTAATTGAGGAAGACCCGAGTGTATTCCTGGGCAGGGCTGACTGTCAAGCAGCCTCTCCTCACTGCACAGCTCCTCAGGTGCTTGCTTAGGACCGTTCCTTGCTGCTGGGTGATCCCAGGTGCAGGAGTTAAGCCCTTCTGGCACTCGGCTTTTACGTTCCCCCAATTTTTCTGCATTTGTGGCAGAATTGTTGATTTTCTTGGATTAGCACTGGAAGCAGAGGAGCAAAGTGCCATAGTCCATTTGAGCTGGCAGAGCAGCTTCAGTTTCAGGTGGTTTGGTGCAGCATCAGTGGGAATTGCAAACTCTTTGCTGGATGAGATAAAGCTAATAACTCTTGGCAGGCACTGGGAAGCAACTAGATGAGAGAGACAGCAAGAACATCAGGCATTACAAGGCATCTATACTGGATGTACATCAAATCTCTGGGAGCAGACTGTTTACTCATGGTCATGTCATGCAATCTGATGATAAACACTGCAATGCTTGTTATTATCCAGATGTCCCTGGGGACATTAATTTTCTTAATATCACGCAGAACACAGCACAGTAGATTGAAGGTACAGATTGAAGGTACAGATAGCGGATGCAAAGAGTTTTAGAATTCCATGTGTTCAGGCACATATTTGCAACATCAAATTGACTGTTATTACACCTTTTCCTGCTGAAACTAAGGAAAAGATGCTAGGCATGTGGGAGTGAAATATGCTTCTCATTTTGGGGGAATATATTATACACATTTTTTTTGTAACTAGAAAGGGAACTGTTTAGAGCTGTTTTTGGAAATTAGGAAATATTTAGCAAATATCCTCACTGATAGGTTTCAGGAATAGAAAAAAACTTACCCAAAAGCCAACTATTTCTACTAAATCTTGTTTAATTTTCAGTGTGCTCTTCTTAATTGAAAACCAGAAAAATTAAATCAGCGTGAAAGCAGCGCGTGAGCATCATTGCTTTGATTGGAAGCTCGGTTTTTAATGAAAAAGATGTCTTTGTGAGGGCACATTTAGAGGAGGAAAATGAAAGCTTAGAAAGACTGTTCAGGAGTAGCAGGAAATGAAAGAACCATCCAGGAATGGAGAAACTTCAAAGCCCTGCCATGTTAGCTGGGATCATCTAAGCCTGCATGTCATAAGCCCTGCAAATGATCAGTAGGTCTGACAACAGCTCCTTCACAGGATTGTGCCCCTGTGCAAATGCAGATTCCATTCTCTCCCTGCTGCTGGAGTCATCCCTGGTAAAAGTGAGCACAGTTTTCTTCAGCTTCAGTCATAATTGTGTGATATTTTATGAGGGCTGAGATTGGTTCCTGGTCTTTCAATAAAATGTGACTTAGGAAATAGCCTTGGTGTTCTCAGCCTCTGTCAGCTAAAGAAATCTGTGCAGGGAATGTTCTCCTGAGAGTGGCTTTTTCTGTTCCGTTGTCTCTTGCACAAAGCTCCACGGAGAGAGGGGAGCACAGGGAGGTTGGGAGGGAAGGAGCACTGGCTGAGGGGAGATAACTGCTCTGCCTGTTCCCCATCTCAGGCTGCAGGGTCAGGGAAGGTGCAGAGTCACCAGATGAGTGCAACCCTGCTGGTACCAAACCTCTGCTCATGGACCTTTCTCAGCAGTCCAGCCTGGGCTCTGCTGATGGCGCTTGCAGGCGTGTTGGAGCTGCTGAGGTGTTTACACACAGCCTGTGCAGCTCTGCAGCACAAAGCCAGCTCTGCACTCCAGACAAGCTTGAAAGCTACCCAGGGATTTCCCAAGCTGGATCTTATGTTCTCTGGCATGAATATGGCTGCAATTCCTAAGACAGCAAGCGGGATCAGGGCTAAGATTCTGTGATAATAATGATTTATTACTGTACTCTGAGGCCTGTTCCGTCCTCTTCTGGACCAATCACATATTCCTTCTGCTGGAAGAACTGCCATTTTCTGTCACCCAGTACCACAGTCACTGCCTTCCAAACAGATTGTGCCCTGGATCTCTCTTCTGTATTTTCAGCACTCTGCTGCCCTTATAACAATGCTCATTAATGCAGATATGGGCTAATATCTGGGTTTGATTTAGTATATGCATCGTGCAGAAGCCAACAAGTAGCTTACTGGGGTCACATTTGTGCTGTTGGGCTGAATCATTCCTGATTCATATGTTGTGGCAAAAAGCCAGCAGTTCCAGTTACATCAATGAGCTAAAATATTAATAGATACTAATCTGGCAGCTCGGAAGGGAAAAATAGATGTCAGTAATAAGGATGTGTCATTCTAGCAGGCTTTCACATCCTTCACAAGTAAACTTGTTCAGCATGGCTGGAACTGGGTGCATGGGGGCACCAGTGCTGGTTAGACAACACTGGCGGGTCAGAGATGTCTTTCTGGGCCTGCTTAGCATTCCCTGCAGTTCTTTGGTGTGAAGGCACATGACCTGGCCATTGGATGCCAAGGCTGACCATCCCAAACCGTCTTCTTCCCCAGCATTTATTTCGTGTTGTTTTGCTTCCTGCAGGCCAGCCAGCTGGGAGTGTACCGGGCCTTTGTGGATAACTATGAAGTTGCTATGGAGACAGCAGAGAAATGCTGCCAAGCCAATGCTCAGTTTGCTGAAATCTCTGAGGTAATGTCACGGTATTCACACACACGAGCGTCTGGATGTGACTAATCCCCCGCCATGTCACTCCTGTCTGTTCCCCAAGTATCTGTGCAGCCCTGGCTGCTGGAGGAGAGCTGAGCTCCCAGGGACTCACCCCTCCAGCTCCTGTTCTTACAGTCCCTTGGGCTGATGGAGGTTATCAGAGACAGCCTCTGTGTAGGGTGCCCACCCAGGGAATCTGATAAAAGCTGGCATTGCTTTGAGCTTCTTCAGCTCTGTGCCACCTTCCTGCCTTTCTAGAGGGGAAGCTGTGAGTTTCTCAGATGTTTGTCATGCTAGCGATGATGCAGACTGTGGTGTAAAAAGCCATCCTTACTGGCTTGCACTGGGGCTGTCAGTGGGATTGTAGCTTCACTGGCATGGAGAGGTAGCTCTCTGTTTGAAAAGGCAAGTGTCAACAGTAATTCTGTAATGCTATTTTTGGCCTGCTCTGATTTCCTCCCTTTCAGAGGAGTACCTGTGTCAAAGCATCTTGAAGACTCTTTTTATGCTTCCTAGGCCACCATCTTTGCCTTCAGTGCATAGTCTGTTGACTCTTTGTATTGTGGTGATTATTTCTTGAAGAACTCAGTTGCCAAGAAAACACGGATTTCATATGTGTCTCCTTAAAAACAATCAGATGAATAATCAGAGCTGAATAATACCAGGGGCGTTTAGTGCTGTGAGAAATCTCCTGAGTACCTTCTATACTGCATGTCCCCTGGGATTTCTATGATAAAGAGGTAAAACGTGATCCTCAGTTCTGCTGTTTCTGAAGGATAATTCTGAAGTCATGCCAGTATTCGGATTGATGGTGATGACACTTCTGCACTTGTGTCCTGCTGAGGATTTTGGAGCTGAGCACATTAATGCACGTCGTGGTCCCTGTGCAAAGAGCAGCGCCACAAACAGTGCTCCTTTGCTGCTGTGAAAGAACTGACATGTCCAAGGTCACCCAGTTCTGAGTGCAGGTCTAAGGAAGTATAACCTGGGGGTACTGACTCCCAATCCTGTACTTTATTTATATGCTGTGACAGCAGCTGTGTCCTTATGGACAGTCTTTCTTCTGCAGGTGATTTAAAACCTTCACCATCCCTGTAGGAGGGTCCCTGCTTTGCTGCATCCCTGTTGGCACGTGCTCCTAACAAAATGGCTTAATGTTTGAGATGTGTGGGTGCCTGTGACGTGGCAGTGATGGATTTACCAACAAGTAAAGCACATTTTTCCATCACTGACTTGACCTGTGATAGGGCTGTCCTCCTTTCACTCTTAGACCCTCCCCTGGAGGAGCAGATAGTCTGTTGTATTCCCATGTGATATTTCAAGGTGATTGACCATCTGCTACGTGGGTTTTCTTTTTCTTTTAGAATCTAAAGGCCAGAAGCACAAAGGAATCCAAAGATCAGACGACGAAAAATTCCTTGGAAAGTGAGTGATCCATACGGAGGAAACTGGTTTGTCAGCACTGTGTGGAGGCTGTTGCCAAACCTCCACTCTCCCTTTTTGTTTTTGAGTGCTGGAAGGTTGTGGAGTCTGCTGGCTCTACCTGGGAAGTAGCAGAGCTCGTTCGTAGTAGGCTGTGTATGGATGGAGAAGTGCCTCCCTCATCAGTCCCTTTGGGCAAAACCAGCCCAACCAAAGGGCTGCAGTGATTTTAAGGGAACATCTGCTACCCAGTGATAGCACAAATGCAACCCCAGCACTGATTGCTGTATGGGTTTTGCCTCGTGGTGGCCTCTGGAGAGCCAGGTCAAGATGGGGTTCCATGGTGCTTGTCTTCTCTGTGTGTCAGCACATTAAACTTTAGAGAAGGGATGTTTCCAATAGCTCATGGGTTAATAAACCTCTGCCTGTACATTCAATACACTGGACAAGTTGGTCTGTAGAGGGTGTATTTAGATACTTCTTCCTTATGTTCCTGTTGCTTTTCTTTCACAGCCCTACTGTACAAGCCCGTGGATCGAGTGACTCGCAGCACACTTGTCTTGCATGTAAGTATCTGAAGGGCAGTTTGCAAACTTGAGACCCCTTCCCTGTTTTCTTTGAACTTTAAGTTTTCCATGGAGCTGCAGGTCTGCAAAAATAAACCCCTTGTGCTACTTAAAAACCTCTTCCCTTTCCAGTAAGGAGATGGAGTCCCTAGGTAGGATGCTGTTACCTCTCCAGTGGTGTCACGGAGAAGTGCAGAGTATTATTATCTCCTGGAGATAAAGCCTTGCTCTAATCAGTAAGAAGTAGCTGGAGCATCTTGTCCTACAGCTCTAGTTAGGGGCACTCAAACCCTTCTGCTCTTCAGTGCTGCTCATGGCTGTGTTCTGTGTTTGTGCTCCTGCTGTCAGGACTTGCTCAAGCACACTCCAGCGAGCCACCCCGATCACCCACTCCTGCAGGATGCTCTGCGCATCTCCCAGAACTTCCTCTCCAGCATCAACGAGGAGATCACTCCTCGTCGGCAGTCCATGACTGTAAAGAAGGGGGAGGTGAGTCTTCCAGCTTTCATTGTTTTCTCAGTTTCTAAATGCTGGTTGTGTCTTTTCTGTAGAGCAGACCAGGAAGTTATGCTGTTAATCTGTTTGTTGCTAAGATACAGTTTGTGCAGTGTCCTTGTTCTCTGAAGGATGTGGTACAGCTCCCTCTGTTTTCTGTTCAGAAAACAGTTTGGAAACCCAGAGGAAAAGTCTGATTAGGGTTTTCTCCTTAGCATTGTTAAAATCATTTGTCATACATAATTGCTGCGTTGCATATTGCTGTGCACTAAATGGATTTGTATTTTACCTGCAAACTGAAACCAAAGGGAAGCCTGGGAGGAGAAGAAAGTGAGGAAACATCAGAAGTCATGAAAGATTAGGAGAAGCTGTTTTCCACATTCTTCATTTTCACCATAAAACTAATTTTCTGCATCCTTGTTTCTAAAGAAGAATGTTGCAAATATGACTAGAAAGCAAAACAAGTGGAATGTGTTGGGAAAGCCAGGGGAGGTGATTGGCTCCTAAGAATTTAATATAAACCTGCTGGGAGCTGGACTGCACCCAGAAAGCCCTAAGATGTGCAGTTCCTTTACCTGCAGGCAATGCTGTGCAAGGAGGCCACAGAGCTACTCACTGGTGAAGTCCTGCATTCCTGGATGGGCTTGATTCAGCTGCCTCCTAATTTCATTAGGAAGGGGTTCAGTCTCTCCTGACCAGGAAAGACCGGGAGTGGCAGAAGTGTTGCCAGAGAGAAGGATGTAGGAGACTGGACAAAAAGAGGTGCAGCTGAGATACTAAATGTGTAAGAGGAATTGTGGCAGCATGTCAGAGACACTGACTGATCAACAGTGACCCAAATTACCCTGTACAAAAACATCTCTCTGGACAGGAGATTTTTAAGATACCACGAACCTTCATGATTTATTCCCAAATCCTGACGGCCAAACATGCTTGCTCTTAGCTGTTAAACTGATTTTCAGCTGACAAAAGGTTTGCTAGAAGCTACAGTACTGGGAATTTGGTGCACTTTGTCCTGCAAGTGTTGCTCATTGTCTCCTTTTGCCAACTGAGGAAGTCTGCAGCTGAGAGAAGAAGAGGAGGGGCTGAGCAATTGGAGGCTGAGGTAGAAACTCAGACATCAGTCACCAGGGCCTCAGTGATAGTAGATGGCCTCATTAAAGTGGCTGCTGATTGAGTCATAGCAGAAATCACAGGCTAGAATGCCCCTCGCAGGGGAGGGAGCATTTTGTGTTCTCTGGTTGTCTGTCAGCATCTCAATGAGGGATGAGGCTTTGAAAAGTGTCAGGCAGAATCCTAATGAGGTGCCAGAGCCCAGGCAGAGGGGCAGGCTCAGGAGGATGATCCTGATGATGGCTTTTTGGAGCAGTGCATTGGTCAGGTCTTAAAAAGCAGAATTGGGCTCAGCAGGCCTGTTCACACTCTCACTGGGCCTGCAGTGACTCCAGGTATGATGTGGGGAGGGAAGAAGGGGCCATGACAGAGGAGAGGGCTGTGGGTGTGCTGGAGGGGACTGGGAACCCTTTGTGCTCTCCCTCACTGCACACAGCTTTTACTGAGCCAGGGAAGAAAAGGACTTGGTTCTGATGCTTCCCAGAGGTTGCCTTCCACTCTGGGAATCTGACACTGAATATTTTCTTTAGTCATTTGGCAGCAATATCCCACTGTTTTCAAAGCAGTAATGCCCCAGTGGATGCCCCTCTGTGTCTAGAGAGTAGGTATGTTCACTCTCCTGTAGTAATCCAGAGACACAAATCTGCTCCCAGCTACTCTGTGTGGGTTAGTGATGGCTGTTCCTTCCTCTGCAGGCTGCTCAGCTTGGGGTCATAGCAGGGTTTTGTTTATGCCTGTAAATCTTTCCTTTTCTACTTATCCTTTCCTCCCACTCGCCTTGCTGGTGCTTCCCCTGGGGTGACAGGACAGTGTGTGGATTGCATCTCCTAATTGACTGCTCTCAATGCATAATGCATTTTTTATTTTAATGAATCACCAGCTTGCTTTGATGGCTTTTTTCATTATTTGTCTTCCTCCCATTGAAATTTCCTTGGTGGAAAGGAAGGAGGGTAAAACAGCCTTTTCCCCTCATGTATTGCTTAGGTGCTGATCTCGGTTATCTTTTTTCCCCAGTCCTTGCCTTTTATGTGGAATATTTTTTCCCTTTGAGTGCGTTGTGGGGAGGAATCAAATCTCCTTTGCCAGCCTCTTGCTCCTGCTCTTCTTTTCAGGATTGCTTTGAACTGGGGAAGGCAGCCAGTTGTTAATCTCCCCAGTGACAGGCTGCTAAGGAAGGGAGTGCAGGTCAGGAGAGAGTACAGGCTCATCAGCACAGCATTCCTCGCTTTTGCAGAAGGTGATTCCCTGCTTTGGGAGCACTGCCTCAGTCTGACCTGCCTGCTGGCTTCCTGTGTGATGCCAGATATCTCTGCAGCCCCCTGGTTCTGCTGGGCTCTGTAGGCTTTGTTCTAATTCTGGACTTATGCAGATGAACTGGAAGGTGTCTGTGGTGCAGTTTAATTTGCTGGGCTGAATGAGCATTCCAGGTAGTGCAAAGAGATGGGAACAAAGGGAGTAAAACCTTTCACCAGAGGGACAGAAAGAGCTCCAGCAGGGATGGCAGTACTGGTGGATTGAGCCTGTAAACAGAGATTGGTCCTTGCTGACTGCAGCACTTCCCTGCTTTGTGGTCTGCTGAGGGCTGTGGTGCAGAGGAGCCAGGAGAGCCCCAGGCTGGCAACACAGGGGAGCCAGGAGGGCTTGTCTGGCCTTTTGGATCCCTTTCCATTCAGCTTGATCAGCTACATTCTCTTGCTTTGTCCTTCCCATTTTTCCACTTTTATAGTTCTACTTTCTTACTGTTCTTTTATGTGAATTATCTGCAGGAATCCACTTTGCTAAGCCTCTGAATAACCAAATGAAAACATGGAGGGAAAGGGGCTCTGAGTAGCACTGCTGCTTGTGACTGGGAATGTGAGTGGTGGAGAATCACCCACCCCTGCAGTCCAGGGAGCAGGGCATCCTCCTTGCTCCCTGCTGATCCTGCTTCACCACTGCTAAATAGGGAACATGGATAAGGTTCTGCTGGGGACGGTGCCCTGGGGAAGAAGGAAAACAAATGCTTTGGGATGAAGGATGTGCCACTGTTATGTGCAGAAAGTGGGAGTAATAACTTTTCTACTCTTATTAGCAGAGCAGCTCTATGTCCTGCACCTTGTGGGTTTTTTCAGCTAAGCCCAGATGCAAATAACTGTGGCACTCGAGTCATCTTTCCCTGCCAGAAGTAAAGGCTTGTGTTTCCAGCTGATTCAGTCCATTTGTGTAAAGCAGGAATTAATGAAACTGCAAAAAATTGCAGAGTTCATTTGGGAGATGGTGTTTCCTTTCCTGACTGCTGCTCTTTGCAGAATGTTATTCCAGGGCACTTCAGACCAACTGAGTGGTGGTGGCTGCCACTCTGCCTTGCCTGGCTGTGCACTCCCACCCTCCCTGAAGTGTTCCACTGGTATTTGTGTGATCCCACAGTGGCACAGAGGAATGGGGCTGACTGAAAACAAAGCCTCTTGGAGTTCTGGGTCACTGCTGCCTGGCTTGGTGTTTGCTTTCGTCAGCTCAAGAGAGCTGACAGGCAGCTTTTTCTTGGATCAAGCCCACCAGATCCCATCGTAGATCAGTTTATGCTACTGTGCACCTTTTCCCTTTCCCTGGAGAGAAGAAGCTGCCCTATGGTGTGGCTTTAAACTGCAGTCAGGGGACTGGGTATCATTGCCTTAGGCTTTTGCTTGGGGGAGAAGGGAGAGGACAAAGGACACGTGCAGGGGAGCAGAAGTGCAGACTGAAGCCTGTGGAAAGCTGGAAGCTCAGCTTGGACCCAGGCAGCAATGCCCAGTGTGAGGCCTGGTGCCCGCTGCTCCTGGAGGCCTTGGGCAGATGTTGGCAGTGGAGCACTCAGAACTGATCTTGGCTGCTTCATGCTCTGTCTTACACCTGCAGCCAGAGGGCTCCTGGTGACAGGAGCTTCGAGAAGAAGAAAGAGAGGCCATTAAAATGCTCAAAGGGCAGCCAGTTTAACTCCCTGGACAGAGCATCCCTTTATTCTTCAGTGCTGGTCTTGCAGCACATGCACGCGCACACACACACACACACACACCAGGAATCATCTTCTTCCTACGCTCTGCAGAAAGCCAAACCACCTCTTCCTCACTGACATGTGCCAATACCCATCTCCTGCTCTTCCCCTCCTCCCTCTGCCTCACACATGTCCCAGCCCTTCCCGGGGCTCTCTCCCACGCACACGCTGCGGGGCTCTGCTGTCACCACATCGGATGAGCTCCTTCCTCGGCACACAGGCGACGAGAGATGGCCTTTTGTGCAGCTGTGGTTCTGGTTGAGTAGGTTTTTAAATTCCACTTTTTGTAATGTGTCTCAGGCAAGCTGGCCGCACTTCCTGGAGTTAATCAGCCTGTGACAGCAGCAGGATTTATCATATGCAAACAGCACAAAAACACTGTAGGATGAGTAGATGAGCACACAGGTAGTCGTGAGGTTGGTAGCACGGGAGGGGGAGATGCTCAGTGACAGAGGTAAGAGGAGGAGGACAGCAATAGGCAATCCAAAGAGGATAACCAAGCACTGAAAGAGGTACTCTTTTGTTCAGAGCACTGAGGTGGGTGGGAGAAGAAGCAGGTGAAAAAACATGCAGAGAAAAGCAGGGCCTGGAGAGGAGGCTTGGGACTTACATTGCACCAATACAGGAGCTTTGCAAGAGCCACTGAAGGTGACAGATCAAAGGCGATCCTAATTCCATCCATTATGATACAAAATCAGGAGTTTTCCCCCCAGGTTTCCTGGAACATCTTTCTAGAGCTGAGCTGAGCTCATGTGCTGGACATTTGACAGTCTTGGGGCTTTCTGTGGAAGAGGGGGGGTCACACTGCCACTGTACTGCCACTCTCACCCTAAGCTTGGGCTTTCTTGGATGTTTATGTGGTTTTGTGTAGTTTATGTCATTTCAGGGTGTTTTAGGAAACCGTTATCACCTTTGGCAACCTCTAAGAAACAGAGTAACTCTGGAAACAAGGTAGAGAGATGATTTCCCACGTGGGTCACTGTATGTCACGTACAGCAGGATCACTCAGCCAAAAGGTTTGTCTTTCAGGAGAGCCTGTTAAACAGGAGGCCACCAGAGGAATAGTTGGTGGCCCTGGGTGGGAGGAGTTGACCAGAGTTGGTTCCCAGACTGCTAGAGAAGGGCTGTGGAGCTGAGGTGGCACAGACATCTGACCAGCAGGAGTCCTGTCTGAGGGGGCTGCTGACTCCCCCAGGGTTGGAGAGGATGGGCTGACTCATGTTAGGAGGTCCAGGAAGGTGCCCTTTGCTCCCACGCTGTGGGGTTTGGCAGGGATCTGGTAAACCAGTTGGGAAATCCTTTTATTGTTTCCCTCTGACCTGCTGAACCTCCCGGCAAGATGACTAATGTGCAACAGAGGATGTGCCCCTTCGCTGGAAGTGCCCCTCCTCGGCTCCATGGATGCTGAGCAGCCTGGGACATGCCTGTTGTGCCCAGCCAGAACAAAAGTCCTCTTTTCTGAGAGAAGCTGGTAGTGAGGAGAGATTTCCTGACTTGGTCCACATGTTTTCTCCTGTACTCTCCTTCCCAGATGCTTGGTTGCTCTTGTGGCAGTTTAACCCTGTTGCTTGCTGGAGGGAGACCTTCCCAACTAGCTCATGAGCAAGATATGAAGAGTGAAAAGTCTGGGAGGCTCAGTGTTTTCCTCTGAGTGGCTGACTGGAATATATCCCTTTCATCTCTTTCCTTCTGTTCCAGCCAAGCTTAGGAAATACACCCTTGTTGCCTTCCCACCCAGCTCCCTCTGTGGGACTTTTTGCTGCCTCATGGTTGCACTGTCTCTGTGTCAATGGGATGCTTGGTAGCCAGGAGGGCAAACCCAAATAAACCCAGTGTGACTGAGGCCACCTCAGCACGGGTGGGAACTGTGCAGGTTGGTGAGTCACGCCCCTGTTTTGGCCTTAAATGGCTGATCTCTCCGCTCGGGTTTTGGGGCAATGTGCTCTTGGCAGGGTGCTGGGCTGGGCTCTTGAGCTCAGTGCCTGACAGAGGTGGGCAGAAGGCCAGGTCAGACTGTGCCATGTCCCTGCCAGGCAGGGAAAGGACAGTGCTGCATCCTGCTGGGGAGCAGAGATGAGTGAGCTGTGAGAACATCTTTACACCTACGAACAATGAGCAGAGGTTGAGCTGGCAGTAAGCAGTTATTCTCATTGCCCCAGAGGAGCTGAGCTGATTTGCAGAGTAATTAATATGCATCAGATCTAGAAACCTGAGATCGGGGTTTTGGCTTGCTCAGAAAATATCTTTCCCTGCTTATTATTGCTCCCAAGTGAAATTCTTTGCAGCTCAGGAGTGCTCTTGCTACTGACAACATACCTCCTCCTGTTTATTTATTTTAGAGCTCAGTGTTTCTAGTTTCCTACCTGGGGTTTGTTCACCATGCAGGAGGGGAAGGCGTGCACAAGTGCCATCAGCAGCGGAGGCATTAATGCAGGCAGGCATTCACCCCAAAACCACTGAGGAGGAGCCAGGAGGATCACACCCACCTAAAAATAAACACTAACATATGTACAGGCCCTTCTGAGCCTGAATCGCTGCTGGATGCCAGATCTCCACAGAGTCCTGCCCAGAGAGGGTGCAGCATTCTGCTGGGGAACAGCCTTGCTTCCTGCAGCGATGGGAAAGGTGCAGCTTCTGCTGCTGCTGCTCACGGATTTCCAGGACCTTTGTGGCATGGAAGGCAGCACCCAGATGAGCTGCTGACACCGCTCTGGGTGCTTTAACAGGTCGCTGTGGTGCAGCTGCAGACAGGAAAATGCAGGCTCCTAAGGCGGGTCAGGAAGTCTGGGGTGCTGTGGGACAGACTGTGCAAACAAGAGTGGTGTCTGCAAGGGCATTTCTTTGCCAGGAGTTCCCTGCCGTGGTGCCTGCTGGGCTCAGCACTGATGTGGTTTGTTTCCACTTTGGAGAGCCAAGGTGGGAAGGACCGTAGGTGGAAGGAGAGGCAGCGTGGGGGGTTTGCACTCCCACGCCCTGGGCAGGCAGCGTGTGCAGGGCTTGTTAAGTCAGGCAGAGAACAGGACCTGGGGGGCATCAGCTCTGGGGTGGGTGTCCTGACCTGGCTCAGGGGAGCTGCTCTCCTGGTGCTGCTGGACAGTGTCAGCAGAGCTCTCCTGTCTGCAGCCACAGTGCTGTCTAGGCCATATGAGGGGTGTGTGTCGTGTCACTTGGTGGTGTCAGGGGAGCATCCTCTTAGCTGGAATAACAAGGAAATAGTTTGGGTCAGGGAAAAGTTCCTTAGTGTACCTTAGCACGTGTGGGGAAGCTGATGCTTCCTGCTTGTACTGGGCATGAAGTGAGGCAACACTGACAGTTGCACGTACTGATGGGAATAAAACTTGCCCAAAGTTGAATGGCCCTGTTTGGAAATCAGTGGGAGTTATCTATTCCAGATGTGCAGAGTCCTGTTATCCTGACAGCAGAGTGGAAGGGCTGAGCATAGAGCAGGGCATGGAACTCCTGATGTGGTCACTGGTACCTGCACAGCCATCTGCGTAAGTGCCAGCACTCCAGCCTTTTGGTCCTTTAACTATGGTGTCCCCTCCATAAGGGAATTAGGGAAGCAATGCTTATGGCTACTGATCTATGCCTCTTCTTTGGGAGGCTGTAAAGCTCCCTGGAACTAGAAACAGGAATGAAGACATAGAGTTGTGCAGCTTCTTTGAATCTTCTAGGTTTGACAAGCCTTTATATGATATAAAAAGAGATTTCAATAGGCTTGGAGTGGGGTTGTATCCTGATGGTCCTATTAAAGCACAGGCTGATGAGGGACTACTGAGAAGTTTGATGGATACACATGTTCAGGAACTACCCCTCAGCAGCACTTGTAATACAGAAGCAGCAATGGCTGCTGTGGATGTTCAGCTGTTAATGTTGACAAACTCTGCTGTGACTGGGAGAGGAGGTGTCCGAGGAGGGCTTGGCTCTGTCCCTGGAGGGATGGCTGAGGCTGAATGCAGAGGCTGGGAAGTGGCTCTGGGAGAAGCGGTGTGTGCTGCTCTCTGCTGGCTCCAGAGGGGACGATTCACTGGCAGGGATTCAGGGATTCAGGGATTCCAGCCTCCGGTGCACAGAGGCTGGGCAGTGACTCACAATGGGTTACACTCGAGCTCAGGAACAGGGGATGGAGAGCAGCCTGAAGTCTGACCCAGCACCAGGTAATGGGGGAGCTGCATGACCATCTCTGCCTCTGGGAGAGAGGGCAGCAGGGAGCAGAGTTTACAGCAAGGAATATTTAATCGGCTTTCTTCTTTTTTCTGGATCAGACAAATTTACTGAACTTGCTGTGGTAGGAGTCATGTCTGAGGAATGTGTTGCCCCAGTGCCAGATCTGGAGCTCGTATTGCACTGACACATTTTTCCTGCTCGTTCCAGCACCGGCAGCTGCTGAAGGACAGTTTCATGGTGGAGCTGGTGGAGGGGGCCCGCAAGCTGCGGCACGTCTTTCTTTTTACTGATCTCTTCCTGTGTGCCAAGCTCAAGAAGCAGATTGGAGGGTGAGATTTTCCTTCTGGACTGTGTGCTTTGCACCTCAGCTGCAACAGAATCCTGGGGTTAGCCAGCGGTTTTAGGTGCATGTGAATACCCCAAGCCTGGGTAACCATAACCCACAAGATGGGCTTAGACAAGGAGTAATCAGCAAGGCAGGACTGTTTATTGTATGAGACCTTGTCCATGTCCTGATCCCTCAGGAAAGGTTAATTCCTCCCATCTCTGCCCTGAGCCTTTCTAGGAAAATAGGATATGCTGTAGCTGCTGATATTCAGGACAAATGCTGTTTATTTTTCCACTTCCCCTTTCTTTTAATAGGTGACATTCTTCACTTTCTTTTGTGACTAAGGTTATTAATTTTGGCCTTGCAGCTACAGCATGTTAACAGCTTTCCAGAGAAGTGGCAAAGGTGCAGTGAACAGACTGTGTGAACCCGAAAGTGCAGCTATAAAGACAGTTTTGTTGACATTTTTGACAAATGGGGGGGGAGGAACAATTACCAACGTGCCTGCCTCAAATGGTGCTTCTCTTCATTTGGTAAATGTTCTTCTCATGGAGACCCCTCTCATCTCCTTGCTCTCTAAAAGCAATAAGTTATGCCTGCCCTTTTTCAAGCATGTGCTTGTGAGGAATGACCCTCACAGGACTGGGATGTTCCCATGAGTGGATGTTCCTGAGAGCAGAGGTGAAGAGGGAATAAGTCACATGAACCATTAAAAGAAGTGAACTGGTTATCCTGGTGAAATCTCTGAAGAATGGCAGCTATGAGCTGTAGTTTCTCTCCTCTGGTTGGATCACAGGGAGGTTTATGTGTCTTGGCTCACCTGCCCCATTTGGCCCTTGCTCAGGCAGGAGAGACCTGGTTTAGGTCACAGCCAGGTCAGAGGTTTGGCACAGCTTTGGACCTTTGGCTGCATGGAGGCTTTGAAGGGAGAGCTCATGGGACTGAGAGGGTTTGCAGGAGAGGGCTGTGGTATCTTAGGATAAAAGGAACTAGCAATCAAAATGAGTTGCCTTGTGTACTTGTACTGGCTATTGCCCTGCTGGACTTTCCTGCTGGAAAGCAGCCTTGTGCCAGACTTTTTCCACATGGGAATCACAGTAAAGTTGGGCCCATATCTGTATCTTATGCACTATAGCAGGGAAGGACTTGTGGGAAGGGGGAGGGGGTGTTGTCAAACACCAGTGATAGTAAAAGGTTTGGACCTTCTGCCTTTCAGGAAAAGCCAGCAATATGACTGCAAATGGTACATCCCACTCACTGACCTCAGCTTCCAAATGGTGGATGAGTCTGAGGCAGTGCCCAATATCCCACTGGTACCTGATGAGGAGCTGGATGCCATGAAGATCAAGATATCCCAGATCAAGAACGACATCCAGCGGGAGAAGGTAAAAGGGGCTGAGCACTCCTGACGGGTCCAGGCTCGGTGTCTGTGCTGAGGTACAGCAGCAGCAGCAGCACTCCAGGGCTGCACAGCGTGGGGAGCTGTGTTAGAACGGGCTGTTCAGCACAGGTTTGTGATACCCAGATGCTTTGCAGCCCATCATTGCTCATCCTCGTGCACAGCTTGAATGATGGTGCCCTGTGAGGAGGCAGAAACAAAAGCACTCTGTAGTTGTACCCAATAGCTCCTCTACTAGCATGAAACCACCTGTGACTGCTGTCCCTGAGCATCCATGTGCAGGGCAGGACTGGGAGTGTGAGATGCCAATTTCTGCCTGTTAAAGATGATCCTGCAAGTGATTTTGGTCAGAAGCCATGTATTCCTCAGTTTTTGCAGGCTCAGTTGTACCTTTGAATCTTTTTCCTACTTCGGTGATGTCAAAGCACCAGCAAATATATGGAGAACACCAGTTATGTTGACTGAACAGTCTGACACAGACATGGTGTCTCTGGCCCAAGCTTCTCTTTGCTTGCAAGACGTGTTTTCTTAGAGATGTTAGATTCCTGGGACCCAAAAGAGAAATAAGAGTTTGAAAACTGAAGGCCTACTGGTTGGTAGAGCAGGATATGAATAACGCTAATCGTGTCGTGAGAAGATTATTCCCCACGCTCCTGCCTCTCTGCCCTGGCTGGCTTTCAGAGATGGCTTCCTGGAAAAAGGAAGATATTAGGAAGAACACTCCGTGGAAGCCTCTTACTCACCAGGTGCAGGTGTCTTAAGATACGTGCTGTGGTGCATCACTGCCAAACAATACTCATGGCTGGGTTTGGGACTGGGTATTATCCAGGAAAAACTGATTTTACCTGGCCTCTGATGAAAATGGATCAGTGGGTGGTGAGTGGGAGAGTTCTGGGCAACTTCTAGGGAAGTTCCTTACAGTCTCCTTAGTTAATGAGGACCTGGCAGTGCTGTGGCTGCCCAGTGACATGATGCTGCTGGGCAGAAAGAACAGGGTATAGTGGGGACAGTGGCCATGCACCTCTGGGGAACAGAGCTGACTGTGAGTGTGGAGATACTGCAGGAACATGATCCTGAGCAGCTGGGAGCCCTGTGGATCCTGTTGAGAGCATTTCGTCTGCCCTGGGGCCATTTCCCTACTCATAGAGGGCAGGGACTGTGGATTTTAAAATATCTGTTTGTGTAAATGGGATAGATGTTGGAGAATGACGTGTCCTCTGTCTCCCTCTCTCCCCCTCCCTCCAGAGGGCCAATAAAGGCAGCAAGGTCATCGAGAGGTTAAAAAAGAAGCTGTCAGAGCAGGAATCCCTCCTACTGCTGATGTCTCCCAACATGGCCTTCCGGGTGCACAATCGCAACGGGAAGGTGAGAGCACATCCCCCCACCCCAGTGTGCCTGAGACCACAGGGCTGTGTGTGTAGGTTGTGTTGGCTGTTGCACAAGGAGGTCTCCATGGCCTCCACTGTCTGTCCCAAAAGCCCTTTCCAAGCAGCAGACACCCAGCCCTTGCTGTACCAAGGGTTCTGATGACATCCTATAAGGCTGTGACTCATCTGTCCCCGTGCCCTGCTCTGGCAGTGCTGTGACCTGTCACCGTGGCCTTTCCGTGCACGTGGCAAAGGATTCTCACAAGACTGTGTTACTACTCAGTGACAATCCATGAGCTGGTCACTGCTTCCTCAGCTTGCACCAGTGTCTAGGGCTGTGCTGGAGGCTTTTGGGGTTCCTGGTGTTGTGAGCACAGCACAGAGCTGCCTTGGGAGCCCGTGGCTCCAGGGACATGGCTGCTGTATCGGGGGGGCTCTGTGGGGCTCTGACTGTCCGTGCTGGCACCGGGGGTGCTTTGCTGAGGGCTCGTGTCCATGTCCACAGCCCTGCCTGTCCTGACAGAGCTGGGACACAGGACAAGCGGCAGGAGTGCCACAAGGACAGTGTATCCAGCACTTAGCTCTGGAGGAGGGTGGGAGCAGGCAGGCCAGCCCTCAGACTAATTCATGCCCTATTTTCTTCTCTTTTCCTGGGTAGAGTTACACGTTCCTCATTTCATCAGACTACGAGAGGGCAGAGTGGAGGGAGAATATCCGGGAGCAGCAGAAGAAATGTGAGTGTCCCTCGGCTGTTACTGATACCAATACTGTGATCCTACTGGAGAGCAGGAATCCAGAGGATGAGGAAAACCTGCAAAATCAGAGATATGCATTGGAATCCCCAGCACAGCACAATCTGAGGCTGTTTGGGGGACTTCTGCTTGCAGCAACATGTAGGGAGAGCACCGAGTACATGTGTGTAGAGATTCTCCCATTTGCCCTAGAGATCACAGCTCAGTGCAATTCCAGGTACAGGGAACAGCTGCACCCTTTTACCTGGCTCCAGTCCAAAGAAACTTAGGAACTTTTTTGGCAGGGGTGTGTTTTGGTTTTGCAAGAAACTAAAACCCCCCCCTTTGTTTCCTGTGAACCATGCTGAGAGTTGTTACTCCCAACAGTAACTCAGAGTGCCCTCAGCAGAGCTGGGCAGGGCAGCAGCACAGCCCTGAGCACCTCCACGCTGTCACTGGGCATTGCCCAGGGAGCAGCTATCCCATGTGTGCCCTGGGTGAGGGAGAAGGCATCCAGCCACTCCTTTAAATTTGAATTCCTCCCTCTTTGAATCTCCTTGGCAGGCTTTAAAAGCTTCTCCCTCACATCAGTGGAGCTCCAGATGCTGACAAACTCCTGTGTGAAGCTTCAGACAGTCCACAACATTCCCCTCACTATCAATAAGGAAGGTAAGAGCTTTGGTTTATGTTTTCACTTGGTGCAGCTGCAGTGAAACTCTCCCCTGCCTGCTTTTGTGAATTCCCCTGGTTCTTTTTGCTACTCACTGCAGCCTGGTGATGAGTTACAAACTGTAACTCCCCATGAAACAAAAGTCCCTGTAAAACAAAACCTGAGGCCATGTGTGCCCAGCTTGTGTGGTTTAGTTGAAGTGGATGATGGCATACAAGGAGAGAGCAATAGGAAGAAGAACAGTGTGTCACCCCAGTGCTACTTTCTGCAACAACAGAAATACAAGCTCCACATTATGTGGCTACATCTAAATTAGCAAAATATTCCTCAACATCTTCCAGTATATATTCATTGACTATTAAGTGGTTCTTATATGCAGCTGTTGTGCAAGGCACTGGAGTGCCTGGTGGAGTCCTAACCCGGGACAGCTTTGAACTGTGCCTGGGAATCCTTTGGAAGAACATCAGCTGGCCAAAATTGCATCAGAGACCATCCTAAATTACTCTCTAATCTGCTAGTCTAGACTTTGCCTCTATATTTTACTTCTGTGTTTTTACTTTATATTTTACCTCTGAATTTCTTCTGTGCTGTCTTGCTGACCCTAGAAATGTCACTTTAGGAGCCTCCCACTTCCAGAAGGCATTGCAGGTGACAGTGGTCTCCTCTCTTGCCACAGTGGCTGTTATGTGCTCCTGCCATCCTTAGGGACAGTTTACCCTGGCTCATTAACCTGTGCAATATCAATCTCATCACTCTCTCAGCTCCACTGTGAATGTAACGAAATTCCTCGGGTCTTTTGTACAGATGATGAATCCCCGGGTCTCTATGGATTCCTGAATGTCATTGTCCACTCTGCCACAGGATTCAAGCAAAGCTCAAGTGAGTTGCAGTTCTGTGACACACAGAGGTACTGACAGGGGTTGGATAAGTCATGCTGGGACAGCTGGGCACGGACTGGCTTAGGACTGCAACATCTGTGGTGATGATGAGGAGGAAAGGGGTTTTGGGGAACTGGAAGTTCCTGCTGTGAACTCTCAGAAAGATCACCATCAAGGGTCAGCATGCAGCACTTATTTTTAGGCCTAGTCTGGGTTTTTAAGCAGTGTTTGCTGATTACCCATCTGTTCTAGAAACGAGTCAGCCCTTGCACTGAATTCTTGCAACTATATTTTGTTTTACAATGAAAGAGTGGAAATCCTTCTCTGGCATCCAGATTTTTTGTTGTGAAGAAAGGGGTGCTAAAATTTCGGGGTATGATTTGACAGAAGGATCAAAAAAGGTGACAGACTAGAGTGAGGAGGACCCTGGCAGGAAAAACTGTGCTTCCCAGCCATGGAATGGGATAATCTAGAACAGCTGCCCAGGTTACCTGGCCGTGTGCCTGGGGATCCTGTTCTTACCCAAGCTAAGTGTGCAGTCCAGGGAGGAAAGGAGTGTACTGGGAGTACATCCCTGTTGGCTTCCTCCTGCTGAGCCACTGACTGCCCAGCTGCTGCCTGACACCACATTTGTAACTTAGGACATAACTTGCAGATGGGGCAATGTCTACAGCTCATTAGTAGCTCTTCACAAACACCAAATACCACCTGTTTAGGCACATTGTAAAAATAATGAGGTTTTTGCCCCCTGACCTGCTCCCTGAGGGATCCCACACTGGTGCTGTTCTAGGGAAATCACTGTGCGGATGTGGTCCAGTATCTACCTGGGGAAGGTTTATTGCTCACTGGTGGACACCTTTGGCTCAGTATGGATTGATCTGGGGAATACTGGATAACAGCATATGTCTGATTTTTGGTAGAGGTGAAGGGCTTGTCTGTGCTGACATAATTCATACAGCTGTGCTGGTACTTCAGCTTCCTAAAGGCAACTGGGCTGATCAGGATGATGAGTTTTGTATGGAATGGTGTTACTGGTACTAATACAGAGATGGTGGAGCTGAAGACAGAGCCTGGAAGTGATTAATGTGAATTTGGAGGTTCTAGAAGTTTTTTAAGTTTCTGTCCTTGTCTCCCCTCCCCAGATTTGTACTGCACCTTAGAGGTGGATTCTTTTGGGTATTTTGTGAACAAGGCCAAAACCAGAGTTTACAGAGACACCACAGAGCCCAACTGGAACGAGGTAGGTTTGATTTTTCTGGCTGTGACTTATTCCACGTGCCAAAGATCTGCCCATGGAAGAACTTTCTGTGTGCTCAGCATTTGTGCTGCACGTGCTGCTGCTCAGAGAGCCCTTTCCTGCCAGGTTCATTTGGCTGTCAGGGCTTGCAGAAGATTTTCTCTTGGATTAGCTGCAGTTAAACAAACAGTTTGATAAAAATGAGTCTTATCCAGTATTTAAACATGTTTAAAGATGCATGTTTGATTATTTTTTTTAAGACACAATGAAAGAGGTGGTTTTGTTTATTTGTTGAGAGAGGGAAGAATTAACTATAGACACTTTGCCTGTTTACAGGCAACTGGTGGTGAGCAAAATTCAGTACAAGGAAGGTGGGTGAGTTTGTGTCTTTGAACACTGCTTTGCTGAGACCCAGTGAAACCTGACTAAGGAGTGAACCATCTTAGTCTCTGATCTGACCACCTTATATATACAAAATACAATTTCAGTTTATTTCTAGACCAACTCCATTAGAGAGGACGTTTTGGACAGTCCTTAAGTGCTCCCTTCTGATGAATTTTAAGGAGACTAAATTGATTATTATGAGACTGGTGTCCTGCTGTGATGCATCCATTGCTCTTTCCTGTCTGGTGCCCTGCAGGAGTTCGAGATTGAGCTGGAGGGCTCACAGACACTGCGGATCCTGTGCTATGAAAAGTGCTACAACAAAACCAAGCTCACCAAAGAGGATGGAGAGAGCACAGATCGCATCATGGGGAAAGGGCAGATCCAGGTAAGACTGTGCTGAGCTCATTCCTGCTACCCTTACTGCAACACATCCCAGGACTTTTGAATCCTGGAGTGCACCAGGGAGGGTTTTTTCCCTGCATTCTTTGTCTAAGTATTGAAGATTTCTGTCTAGATAGTGAGGCACACAGTGTGACTCACAAAGAGGAAGGCAGCAGCTTTCTCCCTCTTGCTTTGTGCCCTGTACCTGTTTCAGCACCCTTATGGAATAGCTGCTTTTTCAAGAAAGTTTGTTTTGATCTCTCGTTTGCCCATTAACTTCCAAACCTCCAACCCAGCAGAGGAACTGCACTGCCCCTGGGCCCTGCTGGGGATGCTCCATGTGTGGCAGGAGGAATATCCTCTCCCCTCTGTAAATCATGTGCAGAACTGCTGCTGTGTGTACGTGCTGGGAGGTGATGGAGGGCCCTGGAGGACAGGCCCATTGTCCTGATAACTGCCATGTTCAGGGCACGGTGTCCAGGACAGCAGGTGGCATCTGAGGGAGATTTCCACTGCAGAGAGTCCATGTGGGATACTCTGTGTGGCAGATTGGTAATACAATAGGGGAGGTGATGATTGCAAAGGGATGCTGCTCTTGGGGAGCTGCTGTGTAGGAGGGATCCAGCCATCCGTGGAGGATGACATTGGGAACATATGTTCCCATCTTGTTCCAGTTTGTTGCACTGTCTGTCCACAGTTTTAGGGAGGTGTTTAAATGCCTGCTCTGAGGGCACATTTTTGTGCTGGAGTGGCTGTTGTAGAGAGCAGAGACGCTGCCCAGATACCTTTGTCTCTCTGGGAAGCTCAAAGGTCTCCCCGTTCCCCTCCCCGTGTGTGTGCCTGTCCCTCTGCCCGTGGGTGGCAGCTCTCCCAGTGCTGCTCACGCAGGCCAGGCTGTCTGTGGGAATGCAGAACAGCTGGGATGGAGGGCAGCCCGTGGGATCCCATCGCTCTGCCAGGGTTCACTGGCTAAATGATCCCATCAGGCCTGGCCCTTCCCTCCTTCCCTCCCTCCTTGCAGCCTGAGGCTGCCACGTGTCACCAGGGAGAGCTTTTGTGTCCAATGCCTGGTGGGATTGGGAAGGGAACTGGTGTACAAATCAATAAATGCCAGCTCAGGGTGTCTCCTGTGTGTGTCTCAGGCCGACCAGAAATCTCTGTGTCCCTCCTGCTAACAAAGGCTATTTTCCATGGAGATGAGCAACTACAAAAGAGCAAATTTGCAGCCCTGAAATGCCCCGGGGATTTGTGTGCTTATAACAGAGAACCCTGAGATCACTGACCCACTAAATCCTCCAAATATTTTACATAGAATGATTTTAAAACCAAAGCAAATCTTTTAAATTTTAAGCAATTATTTTTCCTCTCACAGGAGTGGGCATTTTTCTGCACAGCAATGGTATATTCTGTTAATACATTTTATATTAAAGTTAGTAAGTAAAAATACTCTGTGGTGACACCATTGCATCTTGATTCTTTTAGAGAAACCTAAACACTGGGAAGGTTTAAAAATGAAAAAAAAATCAATAAAAATGTTATTGTTTAATGTGCAGATGTTGCATTCTGTTACATCGTAAAAAGCACATGCAAAATTTCTCTTGTTTTCTATACATCCCCTTTAAAATTCATAAAGAGCATCCTCATAATTCTCAGTGATTTCTGTTCCATCACACAAATGTTGAATAACTGCAAAGAGAAGTCATAAGGCAGTCTGGTAATATTGTGGATTGATAAAAATTATTAAAGGTTTTTAGTTTGGTTTAGTTTTATTTTTAAACTAAACACCATTTCTCGATTAAGAAACCATAATAATGCAACAACAAAATCAGATTGCAGCCTGTGGCTGAAGGCTGGCTGTGTAAATGCTATGTTAAAGCATTTTTCAATCACTAGTTTAATAGGTATTTTCTTTCAGGATTCTCCAGGTGCTTTTACATCAAATTTTGTTTACCTTAGAGTTGGTAGTTTATCCTGGGCTTTCTGGTTGTTGTTGTTGTTGTTGTTGTTGCTGCACTGTCCTTATTCAGCCAAAGTCAGTCTGTTTAAAGGCAAGGTCTGTGAAGTTGGAGGAAGGTTTTATTTCCATAAATTCCCTTCAGTTAAAAACTCTGGGAACATGAAGGGTCGTGCCTGCATCCTCCTGTTGATAAAAGCAGAGGAATTTCTGTCTTGGCTAAATTGCAGTGCATTGTTAAGCCATGTATTATTGTAAATATGCAACTTCCCACTACTGGGAATTCTGACTCACCAAATTCTCTGAGCTTCAGTGATGAAGACAATTCATCAAGGAGACAAGGACTGTTTTGGCTGTGAAAATGTTTATTAAATCTCTCTGTTACATTATGGCACTGGAGGAAGGAAGACTGGAAATTGGTCCATGTGGTCACAAGTTTCCAGGAATGGGCAGCAATTTTAGTAGCTCCCATTGCTCATATTTTCTTTTCCTATGAAATATTTTATTTACCTGTATTTATAGCCATAGGCAAGAGCTGCTTCTTTCCTTGCCAACCTGCAAGTTTTATCCCTGAAAAATAAAACCATGAGGTTTTAAAATTGGGGGACGTCCTGGAAATGCAGGAGCGAATTCCTGAGCAGCCCTTGTGGGCATGGCAGCTCTGGGGGTGCAGTGCTGGGGGCTCCTGCTGCACCTCGGGCATGAGAAACACCATTCCAGGCTACCCCGTGCAGCTGAAATCATTGGGACACTCAGGGCAGGAAGGAATGGCCATCATTTTGTAGGAGGACCTGAGGCTTAGTTCAGCTCTGAGCATCAGCTCCTCTGGGTGTGAGCACCCTGGGGTTTTCCTTCCTGCTGTTACCTCACAGTCCATCTTTGACCCTTGGGTTGGCCCTTTTGCTCGTTGAATTTTGCACTTCACGTGGCAGACACATCCCCATGGTTTGAGTGTCCCAGCCTTTGTTTGGTCCTGAGACTGCACCTAAGTGGGCACCCGGGTCAGCTCCACTGCCCTGGGAACAGACTGCATGAGTGAGCTGATCCTTCCCCCTGGGATCCGGCTCCTCCCGTTGGTGCCTCCTAGAAACGCTGTTTCCTTTGTTGTTTTTCTTTTTTCTGCATGATCAGCTCAGGCAGAGTATTTCCTTCTCCTCACAGCGGTGCTGGAAAATCAGGGAGGATGTGACCACAGATCAGTCATTCTGAGGAAGAAGTGCAACACCATTCCTCTGTTGCCTTGCAAAACAATCACTCTTATCTGCTGAATTATCTGGGATGTCTCATAGCAGTGCCCGTGGCTATTTCAGGCACTAAGTTGTTTTCCATGTAAACCATGTTTTCCCTGCTGTACCTCCCAAGTGTCAACTCAGAAACCCTTTACACCCTCCAGTTCATTTAAGCAGTTTGCTCAAGCAGAACAGTGTCCCAGCGATGAAAATAGGGGGGAAATGAAGAAGGCAATGGGTCATGGCTAAAGGGTGATGGTGGGAAAGATTAACCTGTCAGTGGGGAGCTGTGAGAAGAATGGGGTTATGGCTGGACTGGGAGTTTCCAGCAGCAGTGAGAACTCTGACAGCATGGATGTCACATCAGTTACAGTTCAAAACTGATGGGGTGTAAAGTTGCCAGGGAGATTTAATAAAGGGAAGAAGTAACGTGAATGAATAGATAAAACACAGTAACCTTAATGTCTCCTCAGTCCTTGCTCTTTCATTTCTACTGAGGCTTCCTTGTTTATTCATCTTTCTGTATGTTTTCTTTTCTCTCTGGGGAAAAAGAAATTATCATCAAGCTCCTTGTGGTGGTTTCCTAAGGCAAAGCACAGACACCCTTCTTAGTGCCTGGCTTGCATTTGCCAGACCAGCACCCCCCGTTTGCCTTTCCCAGGTCCTCACCGCTCTGCTCTGCCCTCTGACTGCAGTGCCCTGTCTGAATTCAGTGCTGAGCTGCTACAAGGGCCAGAGACCTGCACTCAGAACCCCCCGTGGGGCTGAGCTGCTTTGTTCTGTTGTGTTTTGGGCTGGATGCAGAGAGGTGCTGGCTTGATTCATTACTGACTTAGGGGCTGCAGCTTGCCCTGCAAATGCCAGGGAACAGGCCACAGGGGAGGAAGCAGCAAACAGACAAACTGGCTGGTTTGTGTTTTCCTGTGCAGCACGAGCTCTTGGTGGGGGCTGTGCAAACCAGCCCCTGCAGTACAGTCTGTGAGGGGTTGAGCAGGTCTGTCCTGTTTGCACAGGGCAGGGAAACAACACAATGGTTCTGTTTCAGTGGAGATGGCACAGGTGCTTTTGTCACTCAAACCAAGCCCCCTTTGAAGGAGCTGTGTGGAGGGGCAGTAAATGTCACTGTCAGATGCAGAGGCAGCCGTTGCACAGGGCCTCCCCTGCCTGAGCTGGCACAGCTCTCGGAGCTGCCTCCCTTTGCCGTGCTGGCTGGGGATTGCATTCTTCTACTCCATGTTCTTTCTTCCAGGTCATTGATTTCCAAATCAGGCCAGAAGACAGCATGACCCTCTGTGCTGGAGCATCACTCCTGCTAGCTCTTTGTGCTCAGTGTGCTCTGTACCTCCTGCTCCAACTGCTCTGTTGCTCTTGCTGGCCCAGAAGGTCAGTCAGCAGTTGGGTCCAGGACTGAAGCTCAAAGTCTCAATGACGTTCTTGGTTTCCTGTTGACTGTTTCCTACTGTGACTTATCAGACTGTTAGACCTGATCTTCCTGTCTCGCTCAGTGTTGCTGAGACCTTATTCAAGCTTTGCTCTTTTAATAGCTTCCATCATTTTGTTTTGTTATTTAAAAAGCACCTTGGGGGGGATTTTTATTTTTTTTTCTTAATTACTGTTGTTATTGCCAGTGATTTATGCAGGGTTGGCTCGGGTCAGCCAGCCCTGGTGCCTGTTCTCCCTGGCTCCATTCAGTACCAGCTGTTCTCCAGCAGGAATCGAACAGCAGGTGGGGAGGGCAGGAGTCCTGCCAGCCCTGCAGCAAAGTTCAGGGAGGAGGGAGCAAGAGGCAGCAGCAGGGACACTCGGGTACCTCCACAGGCCTTGCTCAGCTCCAGCAGTTACCCAGCAGGGAGAAGTTTCTGTGAGCTCTCAGCTCCAGCACTTGGCTTCTGCTTGTCCTTTGCAGCCGTGAAAGTTACTCTTGAGACAGAGCAGGCTGGTGTTTGGCTCATATTTTTTAACAGCTATTCACTTGCTTTCATTTTGTGCAGTGGCAGGAGTTCCCTGGTCAGTACTGAGACATAACCAGTAATACCTGTTAGCTTAAACTGTAACTGGATTCTGCTGGACTCTTCCTTTAATGTTTTTGGCAAATATTCAAACCCCTTTTTCCTCTTCAGTCTTAAGCAGTCTCTCCCTGCTATAAATAATACACTTTCAGTGACTCTGTTCTAAAAAACATATGGAAAACTGCTTCCGAGCAGGATTGGCTGTGACCATGTCCATCAACAGGGCCATTTTGGCAACTTAACCAGATGACTCTTTAGGCAGATGGAGATAAAGCTTTCAGGAATACTGAGCATGGTTGTCCTCCATAGGAAACCAGACACTTCAGAAATGGTTTCCTCTTGATTCTGGGAAAGAATGCAGTTGTTGAAAGAAACCAAACTTCCAGCACGGAAGCTGAGGGCAGAACAGCCCAGCCTCTGGCCAGCTCGTGGGGACCTTGGCCAGGCACAGCGGCGGGGGCGGGTCTGTTCCGCCGGAGTTAAAAGCGAACCCCTCGGCAGGAGCTGCAGTTTGGGTTCGCTGAGCCACTGGAGCCAAGCACTGCTGCCATTGGCCTCCTGGACCTTTGCGCAGTCCCAGGATGTGGGAGCTACTGGTTACTGACTATTCCTTACAAGGGGTCTTCAGGAATTTCTGCCGGAGTTGCACCTACAGGAGCCGGTCCAATTCCACCGGGAAGCACGAGTGTGCAGGCAGCGTCCCGCTGTGGGCTCACATCTGGGACAGAGTGCGCAGGGACAAGGTTGGCCTTGCTTGCTTGTTCTGTTGCTGCTTGGGGTCTCTGCAGTGTGAAACTTTCCTCTGCTGGTTGTCTTTCTGTGGGGAAGGGTGTGGGGGCACTTGTCTCTGTAGCCGTCAGCAGCACTGGGCTGCTCTGCTGACGATCTGAAAGACTGTGACTATGAGTGTCTCAGATCTCCCAGAATTTCCTGCAGCTGCTGTTCCAGCATTTCTCTCACCTGCCAGAGCACTCTGTCCCTGCACAGGGATCTGTGAGAGGGGGGAGCTGTGCTGCAAAGGACCTCTGCTTGCCGAGGTTGTGTTTGCTGACAGCAGTAAACTCAAGGCAGAGGCTACTGCAGTTGCCTCCTCCTGGTCTTGCTGTGCCTCAGTGTTCCAAGCACTACAAAGCCGTCTCAGGAGGCACCAAATTCCCAGTTTGGCTGGTTCCGATTGCTTATCCAGTCCCAGTGCAGGCAGCTCTTTCCTCTCTTGCCAGTTTCCCTGGAGCTGGGTTCAGGTGTGTTTGGGCTCTCCCAGCCAGTGTTGGAATTGCTGGGTGATGTTTGAGCACTCGAGTCAGCCACTCCCTGGCCTCACAACTGTCCACTCGAGATCAAGCAAAGCTGAAAGTGAGAGATTGGAACTTGGTTCTGTTTGATGAATTCTTCCAGAGAATCAGGTGTTCTTCCTGCCTCCATTCTCGAGTAGAGATGAAAAGAAATAGGCAAGTTGAAGGAGGACAACTTTCCATGATTTCTGGGCTGATTTTCTCCATTTCTCCTCTGTCAGATCCTGACAGAAGTTTGGTTTGTTTGAAGTTACTTGCCTGTGTATGGATCACTTTGTATTTCTCTTCTTTGATCTCACTCCTAAGGTCATTATGTCTTTTGAATTCAGTCCTTCTTGGAAGCTGTTGGCTCTATTGGCTCCACAGCCAAGAGCTAGGAGGTTCTGCAGCCTGGGTTTTGGTTTCAGTGCAGTAATTTCACACTCACCCAACCTCACCTGTCTATAGAAAACTGCACTGGGAGACAATTTCTCTGTTTCAAATCAGAGTTATTTCAGAAATCTCTCCTCTCTTTCTCTGACTCCTGGCCCTGTGGGACAGGGTGATTTTGGCTGTCACTGTGCCTCTGTGTGTGCCACAGCCATGAGTGCAGTATCTCTGTGAAAATCAGGTTGTTGCCATTCAAACATTGACTGTGCTCACTGAGGTTGCCTTTGCTGTTGAGCAGACACTGCACACATGTTGCTGGATTTTCCATGTATGTGAGTCCTCCTCAGCCCTGCTTGGAGAACCACACAATATCTGAGCATCCCATTACCTGAAACAGGGAAAACCCTGCAGTGTGTTTTCCTATGGACAAGAAATAGCATGTTAAAAGGGATGGTGCTCTGCTCACTGGTTTCTCTGAAGTCTGTTCCCAGCTCACGGGTAACTTCTGTTTTTCAGCTGGACCCGCAGGCACTGCAGGACAAAGACTGGCAGCGCACGGTCATCTCAATGAACGGGGTAAGCGCAGCAAACAGAAATTAGCTCTGCTTCTGTACCTCCCATGGGCTTTATTTCTTTGCTCTTCATTGCAGCAAGGGAAAAAAAAAATTAAAAAATTTTAAAAATGCCATCTGATCTCTTTTGTTCAGGTTGAGGTGAAGCTGTCGGTGAAGTTCACCAGCCGGGAGTTCAGCCTCAAAAGGATGCCGTCCCGCAAACAGACCGGCGTGTTTGGGGTCAAGATCGCCATCGTCACCAAGTGAGCTCGGGGGTCACACCTCTCCCTGCTGCTTTTCAGAAAGGCAACTGGCCAGTGGGGTGCTCCTGCCTGTGCCCCCCGAGGGGTGTGGCAGTCCAGCCCCCTCCACTCGGGTAGCAGGCAGGGGAAAGAAGCAGTGTGCACACGGGCTGTGGAACCCAGGGTGTTTACTGACAGCTTGTTGCTCCTCTGAATTCCAGAAATCCCTCTTGCCCTCAACTCCTCTGTAGTTAGCTGACACGGTCACAAAGTTCCAGAGCCACTGAACAAGGATGTTTCCTTTCCATAATCAAAAATGTTCAAGGTCTTTGGATCCCGTTGTATTATTTTAACCCCTGATCTTTTGTTGTGAATCATTTGCCAGCAGAAACCTGTTTGTTCTGTTACAGGCTTTGGGAAGTGTGGTGTTTCCTCTCTATGGAATTGTATTAATTTGGAAGCAACAGAGTTGCTATGTATCTCAGGAATGTTTGGGAATCCTCTGATTACCTGGGCAGAGTCACAGGCTCTAGGGGCGCTGGGACTTGGCCAGAAGCTCAAGTGCTCAGGGAAGGCAGGCTGAGACAGTCAGAAAACTCTCTCCAGTTTCAAAGGCGTTTTTCAGCTCCGTCCTTGTTGCCTGCTCAGACTTCCCCCCACCCCATTTTCCAGAAGAGGTTTCACAGTGAAATGTTGGGGTGGTTTTAGCCAGCCTGGCTGGCTGGGGGAACAGGCACTGAGGGCCTGGGCTGTGCTGAACTCTTCTCTCTGGCTTTCTGAAGGAGAGAGAGGTCGAAGGTGCCTTACATAGTGCGGCAGTGCGTGGAGGAGATCGAGCGGCGCGGGATGGAGGAGGTGGGAATCTACCGAGTCTCCGGGGTTGCAACGGATATCCAGGCTCTGAAAGCTGCCTTTGATGTCAGTAAGTATTTGTGCCTGATGTTCTCCTTTGCTCTCTGAGAACCTGCCTGAGCTCTTTGTCAGGTGGCTCTGCTATTTTTAATCTTGTTCCCCAAGAAGCATTAAGAGGTAGAGATTCTCGCATGAGGAGAATAATTTTAACCCTGGCTGCATATTTTATTAATATTCTTCAGCTACTGATATAACTCCAGACATGCAACAGGATGGATCCTTGTTCCAAATCATGCTTTTGTTATTCTTCCCAGCAGACATGAACTGGTGGGTTTACCTGCTTTGCCAAATCTTTGGAAATGACAGGCACCTTTCTCAGGGGAAACGTCAGCAATCGGGAGTCATAATTTTCTCACTGTGATGAGGTCTCCAAATTAGTAGAAGTCCTTCAAATTAAGAATGTTTTGTGAAAGGAAGGCAGCAAAAAAAATATTCTAAGGCTGACTATGAGGGGTGTTTATGAAGCTGGGGTTGGGTAGTCACGGCTCCTGAGTTCTCTTCTTAACTCTGTCTAGACTGATGTGCACAGGCTGTAAAATGACATAATTTGACATTTGCAAAGCTTTCTTTGATCTTGAGCAGAAAAGGGCTCCCTACAGGTGCTGCATTTAAATCAATGGCCTATGTGTACCAAAAGGCACCCAAGATCAGGCAGGTGAAACAACTCTGAATTGCTGAGGTACAAAGAAAAAAGTGAAATTCTGCTTTACTTCCAGCCTCCACATGATGGTCCAAGAACTGCTCAAGCCACACTCCAGCTCCCTCTTTAGGCAAGCAGTTATGAGGCCTGTGCCAGTTGCCCAAATTCAACCTCCCTGAATTTTCCAGTCACTTCTTTAGTGAAATATTTTCCTTCTTGTATTTTCTTTTCAATCCCCCTAAGCTACCAAAACCTCTGATGAGTCTCCACGGGTGCAATAAGGGTCAAAGTCAGACCAAAAAACATCTTTTTTCATTTCTGTTAAATGCTGGTTTGCACTAAATTTCATGAAACCAGTGCTGGCTCTGCTGGTCGGTGTTTGTTTTAGGGAAAGGGGGTGGTTCTGTTGTTCCTGATTGTAACAAAAGTGAAATGTGAGCTCTGAATTGCTTTAGCTACGCTTGGTGGGGAGTTAGAGACCTCTGATTCCAGGCTGTTAGAGGCAGGGAATTGGAATAACAACTGTTGTCACTAACAAGAGTCGAAATGCATGTAAATACAGTCAAGCAGGGCTTGTTCAGACCAGGCACAGCCCAGCAACCTGAGAGGGTGAGGTTCTCTTGACTTGATGTAACGCCATTTGCAGTCATTTGTGCTGCACTTCTCAGTTGTCAGAAGGTGTCTCATTTAATCTGGGGAAACGTAAACAGGAAGACTCTCTCGGCTGTTTGGGCAAAGACAAAGCATAAACAGACCCAAAGCAAAGCAAAGAAGGGATGGAAGGCCAGCAGCTCCTTTACCCTGCCCCTGCTCTGCCCTCTTTCAGACAACAAGGACGTGTCAGTGATGATGAGCGAGATGGACGTCAATGCCATTGCGGGCACCCTCAAGCTGTACTTCCGCGAGCTGCCCGAGCCCCTGTTCACCGACGAGCTGTACCCCAACTTCGCCGAGGGCATCGGTGGGTAACAGCTGAGGGAACCCCTGAGGATGGAAACTCCTCAGGAGGAGGCTGCTCCTGAAGCAGCACAAACACGAATTGATAGTGTTGGACAGAAGCCTGAGCGAGCTGTGAGGGGAGCGGAACGGAGCTCAGAATGGAGCTCTGGAACGACATCCCATTCCCACGTGGCGGAGCGTGGGCGATGGCCCCGCTGGATTGCAGGCTGCAAAAACCCAGCTTTCTGAAGGATGGGTTCAGAACAGGATGCCCAGTAAGGCTTCCAGGGAAGCCCCCTCTGGAGGGGAAGGGGGGTGTACCCCATCTTACCTTGATGCAGGGGAAAGACATCCATGACTGAAGGTCTGAAAGCACTTGAACTGCTTGAGAGAAAAGGATTCTCTGTGCATCTGTGAAATAAAGGAAAGGGATGCTGTGGGATATTGATGTGCAACTCTGACCTTCCTTCCAGCCTATCCACAGTCCATCCAGGCCTATCCCTGTGGGCTGGTTTGGGAGCTGGCACAGTGGGACAGATCCTCACTCCCTGCCTGGGGTGATGTTTTGTTCTCTGTCTTGCAGCACTTTCAGATCCTATTGCAAAGGAAAGCTGTATGCTGAATTTGTTGCTGTCGCTTCCAGAACCCAACCTTGTGACATTCCTTTTCCTTTTGGACCATTTAAAAAGGTAATATGTGGTTCCTTGAGACTTGCATTTAATGTGTACAGCACTGTTATTTTGAAAAGAGGAGCCTTTTCCTTAAATTTGTGCTGAATCACACAAATGAAGAAGCATTTGCTGATCTGCTGTGAATGCTCATCAGATAACTATTGTCTCATACTCACTTAGTGAGGCAGTAAATCCTGAATTCCATTCCCGCTCATACTGAAAAAGGATTAGAACTGGAGGAAAGGGGTAACAAAAGAGTCAGGGCTTATCTTGTGCAAATGCAAATTCCTGCTGCAATGTCACTGCAAAACTGCACCTGCATCTGGGTCCAAAGGTCTGGAAAGGTTTTTGTCTAAGTCATGAAGCTTTGGCCATATTTCAGGTCTGGTGAGCCCTGTCTCAAAAGGTGTCTGAAATCCAATATGATCTGTTTTTAAAATAGATAGCACTTTGCCTAAATGCAGTTGTCAGTTCCTTGTTTAGTCAAGCCCTTCTGGCCTTGTTTGGGTCTTTGTAATATGGTTTCAACTGTGAAAAGGTATTTCCATGCATTTGATATTAATGCAGTAAGCTGGCTTAATACCTGCCTAATGTGTTGATGATTTGTGTTGATATGTTGAACATACCAGAGACTGTTCCTGGAGACATGAAAGATCATCTTGTGACTGAAGTTCTGGATTAAAATCCAGGAAATCTGGGTTTACTTGTGTTTCTGCTGCAGACTTTTGTGCCCTTGGGCAGATTTTTTAACCTTTGTGCCTCAGTTTCTCATTGGTAAAACTTGGGTATTTATGAAGCTCTACCTTTTGCTTTGTCTCCTCTCTCAGGGTTGCTGAGAGGGAAGGTGTTAACAAGATGTCCCTGCATAATCTTGCCACTGTCTTTGGACCAACACTGCTCAGACCTTCGGAGAAGGACAGTAAAATCCCTGCTAACCCAACCCAGCCCATCACAATGACTGACAGCTGGTCACTGGAAGTCATGTCCCAGGTAAGATCCTGAATGTGCCAGTGCCTCCTGTGAAGACACTTCCTGGGAAAGGCCTGGCCCAGCCACCCCACTGGGTTTTCATGGCAGTTTTTTTGAGAAACATAAAACAACTTCTGCCCTTACATGGGCATTTTAAACTGTTTGTAGAACTGTGTTTCTTCAGGCAGTTCAGTTTGCCTCTGTACAGACACAGCTTTTCATGAGGGAGTGTCTGTCTGTGCATCCTCTGTGTGCGTTTGTGCAAGGGAAGAGTTTTTGGGAAGGTGTCTCCCAGCACCGTCCTGGTGCCCTGGGATAAAAGGACCAACAGTGTTTCTGCAATGCTCCTCAGCACTTAAACCAACCAAATCCTCTGCTAAGTTCACATTTCTTTGGCCACTGCTGCCTGTGAAGGCGATGCAGAGGGCTGGAACACAAAGCCTGTGTTACTGGGTCAGGCTGGTTTGTGTGTTCTCCACTGAATACTGGCAGATTTTAGATCCAGTTTTTTCGGTGCACTGGAACACCAGCACCATTATTCCATCTTGAAAGCTGAAAAGGGTGTCTCTGAAGCACTGCAAGTTTTAGTATTTCTGCTGATGTTACACAGTGTATTAAAACAAATACACAACTGCTGCTTGCTCCCATGGGAGAGCCATAGGCGTGTCTGCCCGCCCTCCAACAGCGGGGATGAGAATGAGTGACCAGGGCTTTCTGACCTTGTTCTTTCTCTTTCCAGGTTCAAGTTCTTCTGTACTTCCTGCAGCTGGAGACCATCCCCACCCCGGACAGTAAGAGGCAAAGCATTCTCTTTTCCACAGAGGTGTAGGTGCCTGCGGTACCGACGGGACACAAAAAACTGCTCTTGGCAGGACTCTGCCACCCCTGAGAAAAAGCTGACTGGTGTTTCCTCAGACGTGACTGGCCTGTTCCTGTGCTGGGGAATTCGGGCCCTCAGTGCTTCTGCTGTTTGTGAACCAGACACAAGCTGGAGAAAAAGGAGAAAACCCTCTCCCCGTGCTGGTAGGACCAGAACTAAGCGGAGATGGAGCTGTGTGGAATCTCCACTAGAAGGAGCAATAGACACTCGAACAAATGTACCACGGAGTGTGGCCATTATTCTTGTTGGGAATGGGACAGAAGGTATTCCTCATTTTATGGATTTAATTTATCATAAAGAAACTTCAAGATTTCTACTGGACCACTTGATAGGACACCCCTTTTTGGGTGAGGGGGTGTTAAAGGATATATCACAACTGTGTCTTTAATAACTGCTGATTTTCAAGTACTGTTCTAGGCCACAAAAATAGCATTGCTTTGCAAGAGGAAGGAGAAGGGAAGGGTCTGGGATCTAAGATTCCCTCCTCAGAAATTCGAGTCTTGATTCAAATAGGGTTCTAAAGAAAACAGTTTTATGTACAACTAGAACTGTTTGGGGGCTGGGATTTTTTTGTGTTTGGGGTTTTTTTTTGTCTCACCCAGCCCTTCAGATGCAAATGCTTATACACCCCGGGGAAGGAGATGCCCTGCTCTTGCCTGTGTTGCACTTCTGATGGGTTTTTTGGGTTAAGGGAGACACATCCAATGAAGTTACACTATAAATAAATACAACAAATTAAAGAGAGGCAGGGAGGATAAGAGTCAGTGATTCCATTGGTTTTTTGCATGTAAAAGCAGGAGCAACGTTATCCAGGAAGGATTACTACATTCCTTAGACCCCACCAAACTCAATGAAAATTAATTGGGAAGACACTTAATTCCCAACACTCCAAAGAAAATATGTTATCACTGCAAAAGTAATTGAAGAATTTGTGGACAAAAAAAAAAAAAAAAAGAATGGCTCTCAGTTTGGCTGGCTGCTTACTCCAGACAGAACATCTTTTTTTTTTGATACTTGAATTTTTGGAGGCTTTGTAAGTTGCTTCTACAAGAGTCTTTTTCTGATAGATACAAACACTCTGAAAAATGTGTCAGAATGTACTTCATGGACAATCTAGCAAGTAGCATGCATTGTGGAGTCTCCAGAAATTCCAACCCTGTTTTAAATAAGAGCAGTGGAGAAATTTCTGTGGAACTCCATCCAGCAGTACAAAAGGTCTGGCCAAACACCAATTTTGTGTTTCCCTCCCTAAATCAGTTGAAGCCACAGGGGATCCAGAGGCAGAAAGGGCAGCAGTATTTGTGCAGGGAATTGAAACTGCAGAACCTGACTACTGGTATCCAGAGTGTTCTGGCTATGGAGCAGCTGTGCCAAACATCCCCAGGGGTGGGAGCGATGCTGCTTTCCGAAACTACTCCAGCCCCCACTTCCTACTCAGCTCTGCAGCATCTAGGTAGTGGCATCTGTCCATCACTGTCCTGGCAAGAAGAAAAGTACAGCTGGAAGACAAGGGAAGGACTCGGCACAAGAAGGAGAGGGAGGGACAGATTCGGAAAGATTGGTAGGGTCAGGTTGTGAACATCAATCGTGGGGAAACGCGACCCAGAAAGCAACCCCTTTGTGTGGAATTGCACATTTCCTGATGGGTGATCTGCAATCTCTCAGTTAAAAAAATAAATAGCAAAGGAGTGTTTCAAACAAATAGAAAGAAAAAAAATTAAAAGGGAACTGATTTTGTAGTCACTGTAATTCTGACTGCTGCATAATATTAGAAATTATTGTACTGTGAAGTTGCAAAATCAAAAAGGAACAAATATAAATTTCGATTTTGTGAGTATATCAATATTTTGCATGCTTTGTAAGGATTCTTATAGGAATTTAATATTGCTTAGTATCCCTCCCTCCTTAGGTCTGGGAGCAAACCTCTTTGTAATGTAATGTACAACTAGAAATTCCTTCTCTCTTGTGTGTTATTTCCACGACATTCCAACTTCTGAACCTGCAAAACAGAAAATGTGTCTGTAGTAGGAGGTGCTTTTTGGGGGAGGGAGGGAATGAAGGCAAGGAAACTTGAAGGCTTAAGATTTTGATTTTTTTTTAATTTTGATTTTCAGTTTTTGCCTGTTTGAAGGTAAAAATTAGTCACTATCCTGCCGAACATTGACTTGAGCCAAGTCGTGCAGAGCAGTAAAGCACACCCGAGTTTTGTTTCTCTGTTTTTGTTCTCCCTTTTCCCTGGTGCAATCCCACCACAGCAATCCTTGTACCACAGGCTGCACTCCTGCCAGCTCCCAGCTCGGGGGGGGATGGCCTTGAGGCAGAAGCACTGCTGATGACTTCATGGAAAAGGGGAAAAAAAAAACCCAAGCTACAGCTGGTGGCTGGGTGATAACCTTTTCCTTTGGTGTTTGGAATCTGTGGCTGCTCCTTGCAGTGTTGAAACTGGAAAGCAATACCATAATGACTGTGCCAATTTACTTTTGCCCAACTTTTTTATTTTTATTTATATAGGAAGTTAATTTTAATGTTGAATTACTGATCTATAGTATGTAACCACGAGAAAATGGCTTTTGCTTTGGTTACTGTGACAGGTTGTTGCTGTCAGTCTCTCATTACAATGCTCAGTTCTAATGTAACATTATCTAACATGCAGGCATGTGGATCAGGGAAAAATATGGTAATTTAACTTAACCCGTTAATTATTTCTGTTAAGTATGAATATGTTTTCCCCAAAGCTGGTAATTTTGGGCTGGAAGAGATAGTTCATCATATTGCTGATGATGCAATCAATGGACTGATTTGAAATACGAGAATTGATTTCTTGAATTTCCTTTAATTTTGCAATTAGGTTTTTTCAAATAGTCTTATGTTTTCAGAAATTTAAATATTTCCAAAAGGCTTTTATGTTCTTTTCCCTGGGGATGTTGGTTGGATTTTCTGGTTTGTTTGGGGGGAGTTTTATTGTGGGCTTTTTTTTTTTTTTTTACTTTATTTTTTAATAAGCCTTATCATACTTAAACAAAAAGGGAATTGCAAAACTTGGCTTTAGAGAAGGCCTTCTGATTTCTCCTCTTATATGTTCCCTTGTGAGTTGTGTCAGAAAACCAAACTCTTCCATTTTCTGTATCAAAAAAAGTACAATATAAACCACTCGAGCAAACTAGCAAAAAGTTACCCTTGAGGTGTGCACTGGGAGTTTCTGCTCTTTCAGTTTCTGGTGTATTGGAGAGACCTTTCTAGGAATGTCGCTTTCAGGAACAGGAATCTCAAACATTAAAATTTTCAGCTAAGGAAATCCAGGTGATCAGGAGAGTCTGTGTCTCTCCAAGTTTAAGGAGAGGAATAAGCATCAGCTTCCTGGCATTTAGAAAATGTTTTAAAATTTTCGTGGGGTTTTTTTAATACTGAGTAGGTTTTTAAATGAAATTTTAAAAAGTTAAGCGAAGGAAGGGGGAAAAGTTTTCCAAGGTGGACAAGAAATAACAGTTCCTAGCTCAGAGTCAGCTCCGTGTCTGTGTGTGCTTTGTATGGGAGGGGAGTGTTGGAAACCAAACTGCAACACGTGCATTCCAGTGCTGCTGGTGTTCCTTATTCTTGCACAATTTTAACAAGTTGAGGTAGTGGCTAAGCTATTTCAGGCTGTATTTTAATGCTGCTATTTTTCAGTGTCCCAGCTAAGGGCAGCCCCCAGCAGTGTGGTGCCTGTCCTTGCCGTGCCCACCGCCTGGAGCCGAACGGCCACTCGTGGAGTTGGCTGGAGGGGCAGGGTTTTTGCAGTTTATTCATTTTACTCGTTCAAAACTCTGTTTTGTGGTTGTTCATGGTGGTTTTCTAGGAGTTTATTTAAACAAATGTACTGTTCTTTAAAGCATAGGTGGATCTCCAGATTAGTTTGTCACCTGTGTAACACCAAAAGGCATCACAATGTGTTCATTTACCTTAACATGCCCTTCTGTCAAGTATTTATAAAATGTAAACTGACCAGTGTGGCTTTTAAAAATGTTTAAAATCTGATGGCAAAACCCCAGCTCTCTCCGATTCCTCACTGGGTAATCCTCTTGTTTCAGTGCTTGGTCACCTACTAGGATAACTTTATCAGACTGTCATTCTTCATATGGAAATTTTAGTATGAAATGGGAAATGTTTTTAAAAAAATCCTACCCTTTCTCTTTTTACTTTAATTCAAAATGACAGGGACTTGTAAAAGCAGAAGATCAGTACATTCATGCTGGATTTGGGGGGGGCCCTGCTTCTGTTCCTTGAAGAAGAAAAATCTGAAAGGGCAATTCCTAAGTAGATACGATCAAATTAATGAAATTCTTGTAGTCACTTGTTTATGCCCTCTTAAATTTGTAATCCAGGGTTTGTTTTTTTTCTTTTTAGACTAACATTGTCATTGTACTGTTAGTGAAAAATAAAGCTGGTACCATTCCCTTCCTTTAACACGGGGCCTGTGCAACTGAGGTACCAGAGCTTTGGGTTAATATTAGCAATGCTCCATTCTGAACTCTGAGTGAAATGTATGTTCATGTGTATTCTATGAATTTTGTAATTGAATAGAATTAAATACATGCATTGCCCTTAAAACCAACAGGAGATATAAAGGCAGCACTTACAGTTAATAGATTTTTCCGTAACAATCTTCAGGGAATAAAAGTAACACAAAGGAAAAGAGAAGCATAATTAGGAATCACTCAGGTCACATTGTCTGGGACTAGGAAGGAGTTCTCATTCTGAGCTACAGAAGGCAGCTCATGCCCCAGATAACTGAGCAAAGGCTGTGTGCCAGTAAATAAACATGAATATGGGAACGCCAGGAATTTAGCTACTGGAGCCTCCCAGTTCTGATGTGCTGCAGCCCCTCTTTCTTGGTACTGAACATTCACAGTTCAGTGCTAAGGAAGCCAAGGTTACCACTTGTTCTTTACGTTTTCCCCCCCCTGTGGCAAAGAGAAGTGAAAAGCTCATAGAACCACACAGGTGGACTACTGTTTGAGCTAAAAGTCCTGGGCTGCAAGGATAACATGCCACAACATGGTGCAATGATGAAATGGTTGGGGCAGTGGGACCAAAGCAAACCTGAGTATATATGTTGTCTTGATTCTCCTCCTTCCGTGACCATATCATTAGACTGCAGCCTTTCAGGTCAAGCAAATTCATAACTGCTCTTGCCAAGAATTAGAAAATTATAAAATGACCTAATTTCCCTCCACTGTTGATTCTCTTTGCGTTACTGCCTTATAGAGACATTGCTGGAGACCACTGGAAAACATGCAGGTGAACCATGTGATGGCTTTTCACATCATTTATTTGCTGCTGCCATGTTTCACCTTGCAGTAAAACAGACCCCTCCTTTTCCAAAAGAACCACTTCACATCATTCTGCACTGTAAGAACTACCACACAGGGAGGTTTAGTTCGTAGCAGAGCTACAGAGAAGAGCACTGGAGATAATTAAAGTATTTCCAGTCTTCTTGTGCAGAATGGACCAGGTACTGCTAAAGATCTGGGCTTACATAGGCCTGTGTTGTGAGCTAAGTAAGATTCTATTATTTACAGCTGTTCAAGCATATTTGGGAATTAATATGATTACAGAGTCCCCCCAAGCCTAGCAGGAGTGTTTGCTCTACTTCTTTGTCTTAATTGCAGTCATGTTCAAATTCTCACGTCAAAAATGGTTCATCAGAATAGAAAAAAATTGTATTTTCCGCTAGAGCTTTTGCCTGTGTAAGTGCTGCAGCCTTTTCCCCAGTGGAGGCACGTTCTGAGAGCCTGAGACATTCCACAGATGAACAGTTTCTCTAATCTGCAGAATGATTTATACCACACGGCATTTTATATCCCTATGGATGTACAAAAGGGCAGGATTGTGTACCAAACAGCTTCCTGCCTGGAAGGAGGATCCAGCAGCTTCCTGGAGATGACCCCATGGAGGGTCACAGCGGGTGGAGCGCAGCAGAGAGCAGTTGGCCTTGCTGCCGCTTGGATGCTTCCACCTCCCCTGGGGCACTTGGATGAGGCCCAGAAGGCAGTTTTGAGAGTTCCTTCTTGCTGCACCTAAATGAGTGATCAAATGCCCATCCAGAGCAGCTGAAACTTTCTCCGTTTTAGTCCCATTTCGGGAGAAATTTGCCAATTTGGGATTATGCAAATAGCTGAAAGCTGATCCATAACTAACACCTCTTTCATATATGGTAGGTGGTAATGTAAAAGCTGCCATAGCAGAAGGTCATTTCTCCACAGCAGCCTCTTCTACTCCCCTCCCTCCCACTCACAGCCCCAGAGAAATCTTGTCTTGGGTTTCACTCACACACAAAACTTGCAGAATCCTGGATAAAACTTAGCTATGCAGGGACTGATGTTTCAAGAGCTGGGATATCAGGACAAAAAAGTTATTACCAAGGTAGCAAAAAGAGGGTAATGAATTGTTGTGATGGATAAATTGGAGAAATATCGCAATGAAACAGTGAATTTAAAAATGATCTCACAGCAGGACACAAACGTTGTCCTTTCTGTGTCTGTCCAGCAAAAAAAATAAAACTCAGCCTTCTCTTACCTATGTAAGTTGTGTAGTTTGTTCTTATCTCTAGTATTATAAGTGTTTATAATCCGTGAAGAATTCCAAGGAAAGGAGTTAAGACTATTTATTTAAATATAAATACAATTAAATTATATAATTAGTGCTAAATTATCAAGTGTAGAAGACAAACAACTTGTTATTGTTTGGATAATTTGGGGTTTCATCAGAGGTAATACTGTTGGTATTGTTTCAAGCACTACCATGTTAGGGAGTCAGTTTTTGACATTTTATACTGCTGTTGCTAGTGCTTCAGTATCTCATAGTGCTCTGTTTAGGGAAAGAAAACCTAATCCAAATAGTTTAATACTGAAAGGTGTTGAAACTGTACTGCCAAACATCTCTCAGTTTAGGCCCAAAGAGAAGAGAAAAAGGAAAGGGAAAAAAAAGTGGGAAAAAATTGTCATTCTGGATTTTTTTTTTAAACTTTCTGAGAAAAGCAGTATGAAAAAGGGATCCAAAAACTGTATTTGGGGGAAAAAAAGTCTTAAGGCATTTGTAGCCTTTCTTTGTACACAATGTTAAATAAAATCTCCTGTATCTATGTTTGTCAGGTTCTTTTGGTCTTATTTAAATAAAAGTGGGCCTGTATTACACTGAATGTGTGAATTGCATTCAGCTGAGTTTGCTGGAGGTGGGGAATCTAACACTGCTGTGTCCAAGTGAAAGATTCTTGTTTTACAAGGTAAAAGCTGTATCACTTAAAATCTAGAGGTTGGTACAGGGTTATTGCTGAATTAAACTAAAACAACTATAATGTGTGGAAATAGTTTACATGTAAGGTAGAGAAGTAGCTGAGCAACCCAGTCCATGTTCAGATCTGTGTGAATCCTCTTGCAGGAGTTCTGCTTCAAAACCCAGCCCAGTCTCAGACCTTGCCAACTTTTCATTTGTGTGCAGAGCACTTGAACTGTAGTTATGTATTTGCTAAGAAATCAGCTCTGGCCTCCAGTTCTTCAAACACTGCATGAAAGTAGTGGGGTTTTGTAGGAATCAGTTTGGAAACTGAATCCGTTGTTTAAATCAAGTTTACTTGGTGCTTTATTTAAATATTGTTTAAATTATTAATGTAATTAATTAAAGTACATTTATGTTTTAATATAGTCCAAATTTAATACAGTATATAAACATTTCTATAATAAAAAGGTACCTGCTTGAAAGCTCTAGCCAGTTGCATTCAGTGTGGATCACAAGGATGACACAGCTCAGTGGCAATGCTGGAAGTGGATAAAATGCAGCTGAGTGCAGTGTCCAAAACTACACTGATTATCCTGCTTACCCCTGAACTGGGCAAAGGAGGGGAAACCCAATCACTGTTATCCATGCTTCCTACCAGTGGTGTATCTGTAAAATAGAAGATACTTTTCCAATAGCTTCAATGTGGAATTCTTCTGCTGAATGGTTCTCCCACCATCAGAAAGTGTACCCTTGTAGTGCATCCACATGGAACAGTCCCTGGGCGAGCCTGGAGGGGACCATGTGCTGTGCCAGGCACTCTGCTCATACAACCATGTTCCTACCGTGTCCAGCTCTCCTCTGACTGCCAGCCTGGTGCTTCTCAGCTGCTGCTTCTGGCTGCTTTTCCCTGCTTGAAGATCCAGGGCAAGCTATACTGCCACGGGCTCGAGGTGAACTGTGGTGTGCAGGCTTGTGCAAATCACCCAGGACACTCCTGCAGGATGTTCTGGCCCTGGAAGGAGAGAGAACGAACAAAACCCAAGGCTGGAGCAGGATGAGAAAGAACATGAGTGTATAGTACAGATGTTCTGTGCAAATTGCTCCACCTGAGCAGGTGTCTTTCCCTTTTCCAGGCAGTCCTGAGCCTGGACAGGCTGCCCTGGGGCAGGTGGT